CATCCTGTTTTCTGAATAAGAAACTAATATTGTTCATGTATATTCATAGAGTCACCTTGGGTCAAATAAAAGTGATGGAGGAAAATGCAATGTTTCAAAACTATCTGAAGGATCAGAGCTCAAAACATGGTCCAGTTCAGGCAGGAATCAACAACTAAAAAAAAATGTTTCTAACGATAAACATCCTTCTGAACTATTCTGAACTTCTGGCTATTTACAAAGGAAAATCCAGTGTTTAAAGTAAAACTGCAAGCTATGTATGCAAATACTTTGGCATCTTACTTTGCTGCTATTTATGACCTCTAAAGGCTGAGGTAGCAAGGGTATGACCTCTAAAGGCTGAGGTAGCAAGCAAGAGCTTAACAAGCTGTTGCTAATGAGAGTAGGCAGTTCTGAATGAAATAACCAATGGGATTCCACTCAGGCCTGGTCTTATGAACCCAAGTGGCCAACACTGGGAGGTGGGAGGTGTTGCGAAATATGCAGTTAGAAGAGCTCTGAGTCTGACAATCTGTCCCATGTTCTCCTGCAGATGGAAAAGACAGTAAAAGGATTGGCCTTAGGCCTGATTAAAATAAGGCTTCTTTGCACCTTCTTTTCCCATACAGGATATCGCCACATCCATCTCCTTTCGAAGGATGGCACTGGGATTCCACCAGCATCTCTGTTTGTCCACATTCGGATAGGAGAGTTGGCAACTGAGAACGACTAAATCACATTCCTGCATCACACTATGCAACTCTTCCTTCTCTGCCCCTTTTGGTTTGGAGAATGAGGGTGAACAAAGGAGACAAGAATTAAGAATTTTTTTTTAATCACCTCGTACTTCTATGCAGAATGGGATTTGGACAAAAAAACCATTGTTTTCCACTACTATATATTTTTTTTTAAAAAAATACCAATTGTATTATTTTGCTTGTTTATTTATTTTTATGATTGCGATTCGCTCAGGTCTCACCTTATAATCTACCTCCATCTTGTAAGGAATCCAGCCCACCCTGACAGAGCAAAATTCTTTTAACAATGTTTTTTTATAATCGCGGACTTACCAGAAGAGCTTTGTTAAAGTACCATTCCCCAAGCCTTGAGCCAGCAGAATTATATGCTGGCATAAACTCTGCTGCTTTTATTGCTGATTGGTATTCTGCAACAGTAATGAGACTGATGAAAGCTTTGTCCTATTGTGGGCCAATACTAAGAAATGAACTGATGTATTTTTTTTTTCCCCGGCCTGGTTTCTCTTGGTTCTAGTAGGAAAACAATCACTAATGACTCTCCCTTATATAGGTCAGAACTGGGTGACTGAAGGAAGGTGCTTAAATGATGAATTAGCCACCTGTCAGATAGGAAGGGATATGTGGAATAAAGCAGGAAGAAGTGTCTCCAATCTTCCTGTTTTGTACAACTCTTTCTCTTCAATTGTAACACGACAAGCAAGCTTTTTCTAAAAACGAGACTACTACACTGTAGAACAGTGTTTCTCAACCGTGACAATTTTAAGGCATGTGGACTTCAACTCCCAGAATTCCACAGCCAGCAATGCTGGCTGTGGAATTCTGGGAGTTGAAGTCCACATGCCTTAAAATTGTCAAGGTTGAGAAACACTGCTGTAGAAAGAGTACAAAACCCCTGTCCAAAGATAATGGGGCTGAGAGGTATAGAAAGGAAAGGAGATGACCTTGACAGAATCATTAGCGAGGCAAAAGAAGCTGAAACATTTTTTAAGCTTTGGGAAAGAAGATAATATTCAGGAGCAGATGCCTCCCTAATCACTAGATTATAAGAAAAGGGAGTGGGAGAGATTCAACACAGTCAGATTTATAAGATTGATGTCATTCCCACTAAGCAAAACCAGAGAATGAGATCAAGTCTATAGAAAGATTAGAATTTAGAACTATATTTATTGAGATTGGCTAGACAGATAGTCCTTGCTTATCAACCACTTCTTTGGCGACTATGCAAAGTTATGACAGCACTGAAAAAGAAGACTTACAACTAACTGGTTCCTAGAAATTGCAGCTTTTGCAGTTTCTTCACGGTCACTTGATCGTGATTCAGCCTTTGGCAATCAGCAAGCATTTACGATGGTCACAGCATCCTACGGTCATATGACTACCATTTGCCCCCTTCACAACCACCTGCCAATGAAGTCAGTGGCAAAGCTGGCAAGAAATCAGTCACACATTACACTTGATCCAAAGTGATTCTCTTAGCAACCATAACCAGCAATTTGTGTTGCACACTGGATATATGTATTACTAATTAAATTAGGTTAATTGAACTTAACCCTGGCCAAGCCTCTTTTGAGGCAGCAGACAGTCTGCTAAAGCTGTTGACCCTGAAACAAGGGACTTTTGTTTTATCCTAATCTTTGATCTGGTACTCTGTCTGTTTCCCTCCTTCCCTCCCTCCCTCCCTCCCTCCTTCCCTCTCTCTCTCTCTCTCTCTCTCTCCCTCCCTCCCTCCCTCTCTTCCATATGTATGATTAGGGGCTTGTCACAATCCCATTAGATCCCTTCCAATTCATGAAAGCTAAACTTTTTTGAGTTAGGATGCCCATGGTAAAATCTTTTAAGGTGTGTGTGAACCTGACATGTGTAACACTGTGATCTGTATTTTCTACTTAGAAGCAGTATGGATACTATCAAATACTATAAACATATGAATTTGGGTGACTTAACTTTCAGGCAAGAAATAACAAGAACATATTCCACTGATTTTCTTTTCTGAAGAACCTTCATCAAGAGGTTGGAGGACCAAAATAATAGAGTTGGAAGGGGCCTTGGAGGTATTCCAGTTCAACCCTCTGCTCAAACAGGAAACCCTATACCATTTCTGATCAATTTCTTTTCTGAAATCAGTGGAGCAGACTTTCTCTCTAGCATTTGTTACCAGGAAACTTTTGACGGTCAGCTGTAATCTAATACTAGTCTGAAAAAAAGAGAAACCAATGAGCTAGGATCAAATTGAGAATGCTGAAATTCTAGCAAAAGATGTTTATGGATACTATTTTTTTCTATGGCTCCTGTAGAATGTTTTTATAGAACAAAATACTTGGGAACATTACAAAATGTTTTGAAATCTGCCTTTCCTGGTACATTGACGTTGCTCACCGGCCATCAACTATTTCAGCTTTTTACATTATATTGAGAGACAGCTTCTCTCACATAGGGTGTTTGTTGGAAATAGAGATTAGCAGCTGGAATGCCAGTTCCAGAATCTAAAGAAACAAAATTGATAGCTAAAATGTAAGGAAGAGGGAAATTGCATATTGTCTGTAGATTGAGGAGCATACCATTAGAATTTTATTTGTACCTACTCTAATCAAAAGGACCAATGTAGCCCTAAAGATCTATTTCAAAGCTACCTTATCTGGTTATAGCTAGCTCGTGTGCTATGGACACCATATCCATACTTTGCTCTCTAGCTCACCTAAACATCCAAGACGCTTGGTGCTTTCAACATGATTGTGCTTAATTTAATATCTAACACAATTGCAGTGTGTGCAACCCTCCCTGGAATGCCATTGTCTCTCAAGTACGGCTTTCTTTGTAAGGACCTATAGAAATTGTTTTATCCAAATAAATGTATTACTTAAGAGAATGGTTCAAATTACTTTTAAAGTACAGGGGTTTTATTGTTTTTGTTTTTATTTTTTAATTTCAGAATGGATGTTATTGCAGTGTTTATTAGTGTGTGTTAGAAAAGAAAGCTAGTCTTGATGGGTGACAGTGATCGTAACCCCAGTCCTCGCTAACAATAGTTTCATTAGGAATCTATCAGCGTAACAAGATGGATTCCACAGAACCTAAGCTTCCTATTCCCCACTTCAGATGCTTTGATTCCATGCAAAATACAGGAAAAAGTTTAAAAAGTTAGAAAACATTCATCAGCTTCTCCTTATGCTTCTGGCACATTTCCCCAAATGTAGCAATCCTTCAGCATAAGTGAAGGACCCTAAAGGGAAAAGTCTATTTAATTATGTTTAGATTCGTGTTTCAAACTCAAACCAGGATAGAGGAAGAATCACAGAAGTTACTTTTAAAATTAAAAACAAGTTTGGTGCAAGCAATTTCTGTTAAAGTGTTAGAAAATAGAGACATTCAGGGTATCTATTTTGTATGATTCTTTTTTTAAAGTAGAGCAGAAAGTCTCATATAGCCCGATTCTATGCTTGTTCAATCAAAGCTGTAATATTTAGTCCCTGTGCTGTTTGCATAGGATTGTATCTTGTTGCGACAGACCTTCCTACTGCAGATGCAAGGTTATGTGATACATGCATGGAGGTATAAGCAAATTAAAGGAAAAGGAGACATAAACAACAGGAGCCATCTGGGCAAGAAAGAACTATAGACTCCGGTGGTGAAGCTAAAATTATTGCTTCTTTCGTTTTGCGACTTTTGTATGCTTGCTTTTGATTGTACAATTTCAGTTTATTTGGCTGATGAACTGCAGACAGAATAAAGAAGGAACATTGAGGGCTGTATATAAAAGGGACAAATAAACTATTAAACCTTTTATGCCCCAAACAGTTGTTTGCATGTTACTCAAGAAATAAATACTGCAGCAGAATTTTGTTGATTCTGTCTTATAGAAGCACGCACGCCTATTTGCTTATCTGAATATCCACAACAATTGGCACGTTTTAATTGTAGCATCCACAAACACAACTTTTATGGTCTGTTTTTTTCAGAATTTAAGAGTAGAATGGCAACTGTTTTCTGTTTTCCATTTGGAGACTCTCCCCTCCTGTTCCCACTATTAAAATAGGTACTAAAATAAAAGTGGTCTGAGAAACAGGAAAGTCAGGCCACTTTGGAAAGTATTTTGAAAAATCACAGGTGAAACATTGTAACATTGAAATTCAGCTATTTTGCCACCCAATTTTGGTGATGCAATCTCTGGAAACTGGTAGCCAATTGCTAACCTAAGTACCGCAAAGCAGCAGCTCAATAAATCCTCAAAGTCTAGGAGCTCTCATCGAATGATCTCATTATTTAAGAACTGAAGCAATTGGATTATTTCAAAGCTCTAAGACCAGCAAGTTTCCAAGCACTTGGGAATATCAAAACCTTCTCCATCCCTACTCTGTTGCTAGTGTTAATTGTGATTTAAGCTAGCCTTGGTGCTCTTGAACTTGATTGTTTCATTACCTAAACTAGGTAACATCAACAGTGCTAGTTAAGGAGTATATTCTGTGCCCATGAAGTTCCATCTGGAGTTCTTTGGATGCATCTGTCATTTGCATTTTGAAGGAACTGTCTGAACAATTTGCCAGCAGTTTCCTTTATAAAGTATATGAACTTAAACCAAACCCTCCCATCACTTGAAGGCCTTATGCAGAAGCCACCAGAAGTGTTATTATCATCACCATCATTCTTGCTCTGCTCTGTAAATCAAGGGATCACATGCCATCAAAGGAAATAGCTTTTACTGTATATAATCACATATTTTACATTCCATATACAGAGATAAATATAAACACGAGAGAACAGACAGGTGGTAACCAAGCATCTCAAGCCAGACCTCACATACTGCTGGGCAAGAACTTCCACCCAATTCTGGCTCATGGAAACTACAGCAGTCTTGACGTAGAAGTCCTTAGTCCTGTGGAGACATTCGAGCCACATTTTCCTCTAGGTGCCTGGAGGAGGAAATCTCAAGCTGAACATCATGCAGGTGGACACCAAGAATACTTGGGTCCTTGCCCACCCCTTTGCTGAGATCCCCTTCTATTTCTTCTCGCTCAGGATGGTGCTTCTGCAAATGTTTTATCACTTGGAACTTCTGCTTTGCCTTGTAGCTGCAGAAACGGCAGAAGAAAGGGTGCTCATTTGTGTGAATGAGATAGTGATGCCGCAGGCCAGCTGCCCACCGGAAACCACGGAAACACACGTTGCAGATGTAGGGCTTTTCTTCACTATGCTTTTTTAGATGTGTCTTGAGGAGGAACCGAGTCTTGAAGGCCTTCCCGCATTGCTCACAGATGAAAGAACGGGCATCACGATGTCGTGTCTCCTTGTGAATACGCAGGGCATCAGCACGGTTGGTACAGTACTTACACTCATCACACTGGTATGGCTTGATCCCTACACAGGAAACAGGGAGAAAAAAAAAACCCACCGGAAATGGAGATGGGACAATATTTTCACATTATCCAAACAAAACTTTCACTTGGTGGATTTCCATTACAAGGGACCTTTATTCCATTGGATGGTGCAGAATACCTCGTGCCCTGGGGAAGGGAAAGCTCAGAGATCATCACCCACTGCTGCAGCATAGAACTAATAGATGGTAGCACAATATGAAAATGAAGTATCCAAGAGCCCAACCTCCAGGCATGCACAATAGCCACTGGAAATATGATAATTCTTAAGTGAAAAATAAAAAAAAAAATTTTCCCCCTTGCGATTTTTAATAATAATAATAATAATAATAATAATAATAATAATAATAATAATAATAATAATAATAATAATAATAATAATAATAATAAGTTGGAAGGGACCTTGGAGGTCATCGAGTCCAACCCCCTGCTCAGGTAGGAACCCTATACCATTTCGGACAAATGGCTGTCCAGTCTCTTCTTAAAAACTTCCAGTGTTGGAGCATTCACCGCTTCTGGAGGCAGGTGGTTCCACTGGTTAATTGTTCTAACTGTCAGGAAGTTTCTCCTTAGTTCTAGGTTGCTTCTCTCCTTGATCACAGCACTGTCTGATCCTAAGACTCAAGCCTACTTCATTTGTGTGAAAACCTACCTGTGTGCTTTGTCATGTGGTACTTCAGCTGATTCACCCACTTGCACTTGTAGCCACATTCCGGGCAAAGATACTTTCGCTCCTCTTTATGGATACGCATATGATACTAAGAAACGAAAGGAAAGTCAGACGTGCATGAGACACTAAGCTGTTACCTGTTTACACCAAGTATTATAAACATGACTGAAATCTTAGGAGCTGAATGGGCTATGCAGAACTCAACAGATTTCTGGATATAACTGGTTGGTGGACTTTGAGTATAAAAATGGAATAATGGAACACAGTATTGAACAGTAAACTTCAAAAATGATTTGGAACAGGTGCTTTAGACTTTGCAGAAGGAGAACATTTATCGGCTGTTCCTTCATGCTTCTTCTCTTAGACTTAGTGGGCTCTTTAGAGTAATTGCTCCTTTCTTTTTCAAGGCTTATATAGAAGCATGAATAAAATCATACTGCTTTAATAAATACTAAACAAATACTATGCTCACGCAAGAGCCAAAACACTGCTAAATCGTTTTCCAAGGTGGCACAGCCCTATTAAAAGTGTGCCATACCACTAGGGCAGGGGTAGGCAACCTTGACTCTTTTATGACTTGTGGACTTCAACTCCCAGAATTCCTGAGTCAGCATGGTTGGTTCAGGAATTCTGGGTATTGAAGTCCACAAGTCATAAAAGAGCCAAGGTAGCCTACCCCTGAACTAGGGATTTCTTTTTGGCTCCAAAATTGAGCTGGTTTTTTTTTTAAAAAGTCCATTCTTGATTAGTTCAATCTGTTTTCAGAGTGTAAATTAAGTGAAAATTTTAAATTTTAGTTTTAAGTTTTACATTTCATAAAACCTTTAAATTAAACTTTTTAGAGTGAGAGACGTTTGCTCATTTCCTAGTTATAGGGCCTCCAAAATGGTCTGTTGCTATAAAAGGTCTGCACTTCATTTTGAATTCAACTACTTTCCCATATCAAGAAATTCATTAATCCCCAAAGACAGTATCAAATTGACTGATGTGGAAAATAAAGACAGAGATCCTTCCATCGGAAAAACAAATCTGTTCATCAAGTATTACATCATAAAGATGGGCCCAAGTTTGTATTTGTCTGAGGGAAAGAGATACCATCCAAAGTTCTCCTCACCCAGGGTTTTCACAAAATGTCGATCTGCTCTGCACAAGACAAAGAGATGAAAATACAGATCTCTGCAGATTATAGAAGCAGGAGTGAATTCTTTATTCGTATACATTGTAAGACAAGACACCAGGGGGAGAAAAGTCATTTAAGTAATTTAACGAGAAGCCATTCCTTAAAGTGGGTTATGGACCAGACTACCATATCCAAGTATTCTCTTCTGCTCCAAGGCCTGAAAAATCTGATCCCTAAGAGACTATTCAACTGATAAGAGTCTCAACTTTGCCATGGCAACACAGTTCCCATTTCCTGGAAAATGGTTTTGTACATCTTCCACAACAACCTTCCACTATCAACTCACCAAAGCTGCCCAACGTTCTCACCTTGAGGCGTGAAGGGTCGGCACAGGCATACTGGCACTGGTGGCATTTGTAAGGTTTCTCCCCAGTATGGATGCGGATATGCCAGGTGATCTTTTGCTTGTTCTTGGTGGTGTATTCACAGTCAGCGCATTTATAGACGCGGGTCCCCCCGTGGCCTTTCATGTGATGGTCATAGACCAGCTGATGATGACAACCAAAGTCACAGAACGTGCATTTGAATGGAGGTTCGGCGCCTACCGAGGGCTCATGGGCCTCCAAATAGTGGCTCACTAACTGCTGCCGTTCCTTGGCTGCAAAACTGCAGATGTCACAGCGGTGACTGAAGTGGAGTTTCTTGTGCTCTTCCAACTCTTCCCGAGTAGTTAGAGTCTCCTTACAGGTAGCACATTCCAGATGTGGGTGCTGCTTCTGGATATGGCACTTGAGGGTGGCCTCACTGTGGCAGACAAAGGCACATCGAGGGCAGCCATAGGAGATCTTTTCTTCATGCTGTCGCAGGGTGTGTTGCTTCAGGGCTGTTTCGGAACTGAAGCGAGCGTCACAGCGGGAGCAAGCAAAATTCAGCTCCCCTCGATGGCAGCTGCTGACATGGCGAGTGATGTCATTCTGGATATAGCCACTGTAGTCACAGAATGGGCAGAAGTGGGTGGGCTTCTTCTCGTGGACACGTAAGTGGTGAATGCGCAGCAACCTTAACCACGGTTTTCAGACCGGTGTTCGTCATGTCCGCTACGCCGGGTGCGGCCACACGTTCCTGACCACCCGTAGGTTCGCCATTGCGGCCCACCACGACTTTAGTGTCATTCCCGTGAACACTCCGAAGTGTGGAAGTACGAACTACGCCTGCACGACCGCCTCCGTCGCGTGGACGAACGTCCACTTCAGTGACTGGCGGCAGGTCAACTGAGGACGGGCTTTGAGATACTTCCGATGGAGCTTGCGGTGGAGTCGTAGAGCAGCAGCAGCCTTGGAGGTAAAAGGACACAGTGTGCAGCGAAACTCACCCAGCTTCAGGCAGCCACGCTTTTTGTGGGTCTTCAAAGCCCGTTCCTGGTGACATGTGAAAGGGCAGGTAGGGCAGGAGAAATGGCGTCTCTTATGGGGGGTAACTGGAGGTGAAGGTATTACTCCTGCTAGCTCAGAAGGTTGGTGCTTTTCTTCACAGCTGTGTTCATTTCTTTGTTCTGCTACAACCCCTGGGGATGTAGTGCTGTTAGACCCTTCAAGCAGGCTAGGCAGGAGAGCTTCAGCATGTCCCTCTGACTGGTGGATCTTGAGTGCCCTCTTAGAACGAAAAGGCTTGCAGCACAGAAGGCACCAGAACTGTTCCAAGCCACGGCAGCTATCCTCTACGTGAGAGCGGATGGTGGATTCTCTTGAACAGAGGAAGGAGCAGGACTTACAATGGAACTTGCCTTGTTCCAGGAAGTATCTCTCTGAGGCACGGCTGGCAGCCCCCGTCACAGTCTCTGACAAGGTTTCTTCTCCCACAGATTCAGAATCACGATGAGATGACTTATCCTGCGGGCTGACGGCCAAAGATGGTGCATCAGGAAGTACGGTAGGCATAGATTCAGCATTAACAGGCCTGAGTTCTACTTCCCAGGAAGCTTCTGGCAGGTTGTTTACCTCTGCCTCATCTAGGATTCCTGTACTATTCTTTCCGATTGCTATTCTTTCCAGAGTCCTGCTGCAGGGCAGTACAGCAGCAGGTTGCTCTAAGCAAACCGCACTTCCACTGTTCTTTTTCATTAGAATTGGACATTTCTTGCGGAGATGAGTATTCAGTCCCCTCTGCTGCTTAAAGGTGGCTCCACACTCCTGGCACACCAAAGGGCATTTCTTGCTTTGGCAATCAGCCTTGCAGTGCACCAACATTGACTTCTCCTTCCTGGTGATGTAGGAACATTTCTCACATTTGAAGACCTGACTCTTGGACTGGACTACCAACATCTGCACTCTGCCTTCAAGGACCAAGGTCTCCGCCTGCTCTTTGTCCTGCCTCCTTAAAGCTTTAAGCACTGATTCTGACGGGAAACCCTCTTCTGAAGAAAGGGCGTCTTCTGGAGCGAGGGAGGCTTCAGGGCTACTATCAAGTTGGAGGGGATCTTGTTTCAGCACCCCTGACCAAGGCTCTGACTCTTTGTACCCTAAATTCTGCTCAGAACTAAGCGGGATCTGCAAAAGTTCCGCATTCTGGCTATCGCCGCTACTGTTCTTTAAATTCTGAAGAGCATCTTTTTCTCTATTTCCACCAGTATCAAAGCTGTTATTTTTCTCCAAATCTGCGCTGTCGCGGATCTCTGCTTCTTCTCCAAATTCAGGAATATCTTCAAGGGTGGGTTCACTCTCCTCCAGGAGAAGTGAATCCTTGGAACCCAACACTCGGTAAGTGGATTCTACTTCCTGGACGTTTAGAGCTTTTTCATTCTCCGACAAAGCTGCAGGCATTCCTTTGGCCAGCTGCTCCAGAGCTGGCTCCGAGTCACACAAGGGCTCTAAGTGCAGGATGCAACTTTGAGCAGACTTGCCCAGTTCCTCTGGACTCTCCGAAGACGCGTTCACAGAGACGACTTTGGAAGAAACCACTTCTGTGTCCTTATAATCTTGTTCTCCCGCCGATTCTTCTCTTTCCGTCTCAGTGCTGCCTTCATCTGAACAGAGGGGCTTCTGAGGGAAGTTTTCTTCCTGGGCCTCCAAAGCAGGGAATTTGTGTTTATCCTGACATGGTTCCTTCCCAGGCAGAGAGGGACTTGACTCCGAATGCAGAGTCATGGCAAGGTTGTAGCTAAACAGCACTTCAGTGGAGGAAACCTCCAGCTCTCTGCTGGCATAGTTCTCCTGCCAGCCTTTGTCGCCAGGCACATAGCCGTGAACCTTCCGCTTATGGAAAAAGAGACTAGTGTTGCTGAAAGTACGGTAAGTGCACAGGGCACAACAGAATTCTCTCTGTTTGGTATGCTTGCAGTTCTCGTGGTTCAGCAGGGCTTGCTTGTATTTGGTCTGGTAGCTGCAATATTGGCACTGAAAGATGGGTATCTGATAATCCTGGGAGTGTTTGGACTTCATGTGCTTCTGCAGCTCGTATTTGCGCTTGCAAGCAAAGCCACAGATCTCACAAATCAAAGACTTGCCCTGATGGCGCAACTTGTGGCTGCTCAGTTGATCAGCCCGATGGCAACGATAGGGACACTGGTTACATTGGTACCTGGTATAAGAACAAGAGTGAATCAGAGNATCTGATAATCCTGGGAGTGTTTGGACTTCATGTGCTTCTGCAGCTCGTATTTGCGCTTGCAAGCAAAGCCACAGATCTCACAAATCAAAGACTTGCCCTGATGGCGCAACTTGTGGCTGCTCAGTTGATCAGCCCGATGGCAACGATAGGGACACTGGTTACATTGGTACCTGGTATAAGAACAAGAGTGAATCAGAGATTGAGACAAAACATTAGCATAGTCAAACTTCCCGATGTCAACGCTGCAAATACTGTATATTCTTGCTTTGACAATATGCAGAACTGTCTGGTATTTTTAGGGTTAATGCAGAGCAGAAGAGGGTGGGGGGGGGGGAAAGCCCGGGAAAGAAAGAGGAAGGAAACCTTTGACCGTCACACTAATTGGATAACAGTGGTATATGACAGCTAATTTAGGGAGGGAGCATGCTGATAATTTAACTGCTCAGAGGAAGAGAATTTCAGATCTTAGCATCAACATTCGTTATGCCTGTGCCGACATTTTGTAACAATAAATGTCTTTTAGGAAAATCAATGCCTGGAAGTTCTTTGAAGTGTTTCATTAGCCAGAACCATAACACCCAAATCTGATGGTTCTCCAGAAATGATGGGACAGACAATTCTCCAAATTCCCAGCCAGCATAGCCTTCCACAGGCTATAAGCAAAAACTACTTTGCTTTACAGCAGTTACAATCACTACCACTCACAATCCAAGTTCAGTTCAGCGACTAGAAATGTACAGCTTCCCTTAGCTTGAAAGTAAAAACTCAGAACAGCTTTCTCCAAGGTTTTTTAAATAGCACCAGGTTGAAATTAGTTTTTCCCTTGCACTTCCAATCATAAGAGGTGAATTTATTCTTATTAACACTGTAATGCAGGAATGCAATAGACTTCGCCCTAATCTGAACTACCCAAGATAAATAGTTACTGCAGAAAAGAAAGAATATAAATCAAACAAGAAAACCACAACCAAACCAAAATGTTCTCCCTCAAATGCTGCTAATATTTTTTATCACTTTTATCACAGGCAAGTACTCCCAGATACTAATGGGTTGAAACATACAGGTTACCATCCAGACACAGGAGCAAGCATCCAGTTCATGCAATAGTTCAATTTATCTTAATCAGAAATCTTATTCCGTTTTTGATTTTTGCATGATTTGATATTTTGTAATTGCACTATTTCCAGTTTTAAACCATACCCATGCTGGGACTTTAGAGGCTGGAGATTATTTCACCCTATAGATATGGTGTCCAATCAATTCTAGCTTTTATTTCTAAGATAGATAAGATAGGATAACCTTTATTGTCGTTTTTTTTACTGTGGGCACAACAGCACACATCAAAAATGAAATTTAGTTGCCCGCTCTCAAAGTGAAACACACACGACACACACCTAAAACATACTATGTACAACATATGTATAGACCCACACCCGTACATATACGTAGCAAATAAATAAATAAATAAATATCAAATAAATATACTTAGAAAATAAGCTTAAGTGGTGAGGAGGCTGCCGAGTACCTGAGATCGCCCGTGTGCTTCCGCATGTGAACATTCAAGTAGTGCTTCCACTTTGTCACATAGCCACATTCTGTGCACATGTAGTTCTTGTCGTCAGAGTGGGTCAGCATATGCTTGGAAAGGTAGCTCACATCTCGGCAAGTGAAGTCGCAGAGTTGGCATTTGTGAGGCTTCTCTCCTAAAGTCACAGAGCAAACCCGAAGCTGTGGGTCGATGGTCGTGCCCCTTGAGGTCAGCAGATTAAATTTAAAATGGAGTTGCATTCTGCCCCCTCCCACCCCCCTGAAAACAGACCTAGGACTCCTCACAGAGACTAGAATAGTACAGATCCTGCACAGGTTGGGTGAGACCAAAACTGAGATGCAAAAACTAAGTATTTTCAGGAAGCTAGGGGTAAAGAAATAGGATAATTTAATGAGAGAACTAAACAACTTTTTTTCCTAGACTTCCCTGCTCATAAAGTCCTGACTAGCTAAAAGCATTAAAGTAATCTATTCTTCTTTCCATTGCAATAAATGAATGTGTTAGGGATGGATATATATAATATATATGTTTTCGTAGATTTTCACGGGTACAGGTATGCAGGTCTTGGCGTATTTGGGTCTTTTCCCGTGTAAGATTGAGAGTATCTTGGCGACGTTTCGACGAGGTCCCACTCGTCATCTTCAGGCTGGGGTCTTCGGCTTCGTGCTTGTGCGAGCAAAGTGTGATCGGAGCTGCCGTCTCTCTATAAATATTGGTGGGGGTGTATGGAGTGCTGGCTTAGTTGCTGTAGGTGGGTTGGTTGACTGTGTAGGGGTTATTGTTTGCGGATTGTTCAGCTGTTTCGTAACATCCTGAATAGCTGAGGTGCTGGCTTACCCAGGTCGTTATAACACAAAAGACTAATGGGCACACAGCCAGCAACTCAACTACTCAGGATGTTACGAAACAGCTGAACAATCCGCAAACAATAAACCCTACACAGCCAACCAACCCACCTACAGCAACTAAGCCAGCACTCCACACACCCCCACCAATATTTATAGAGAGACGGCAGCTCCGATCACACTTTGCGCCTGAAGATGACGAGTGGGACCTCGTCGAAACGTATATATCAGAATTTGATCCTGGGAAGAAAAAGGGCCAAAGAAACTCTCCAATTCCCAGCTTACCCACGGATATAAATTATGAAAAGCCAATAACCGACACCTGAAATGCTGAATTCTGGATTACAGGGCCTGACTTGCAAAGCTCTTTTGGAGAAAAACAAAAGTAGAGGGTAAGGATGTATTTGTACACATGTTAAGTATCGTCAAATTGGGAAGGACACTTGCCTGTATGGAGAAGCATATGGCGGATGAGAACCCTCTTGTGTGCGGTGGCGAAGCCGCATTCTGTGCATTTGTGGATCTTCTCACTGGCATGCATCTTGCCAACGTGATCGTGGAATTCCACTGAGTTAAATGTGGCAAAGGGGCAGAAGCTGCACTGGAGTTCCTCATTCCCTGGGTGGCCTTGCTTTTTATGCTTGCGGAAGACATGCTTGTTGGAACAAATAAAGTCACACTGTTGGCAATGGAAGGCATAATGGGTTTTACGATGGGTCTCCATAATCTCCGTCGAGGGGAAAAGAAGAGAGCAGGCATAATACTTGCACTCCACTGCTTTAATGCCGTGAACCTCCTTGACGTGCCTCAGAAACTCCTTGCGATCTTCCGTGGCGTAACTGCAGCCGGCCTGAAAGCAGCTCAATTGCTTGGGCTCTGTCTTGTGGGTCTTCAGATGTTCCTTGAGGGTCTGGCTTAGTTTAAACTTCTCTTTGCACACAGGACAAGAGTATACGTCTGAATAGAAATTGGAGATGCCCTCGTGCATGCTGGCCATGTGCCTGTTGAGGGCATTCTTCTCAACTGAGCTGTAGTGGCACAATGGACAGCGATGGGCTTTCTCTCCGGTTTCACGCATCATGTGGATCTTCAGTTTGCTCTTGCTAGTGAAGAATTTCTGACAATTTGGGCACTGCAGCCTGGGATCTGGGAAGTGGAGGTGAAGATGTTCTACCAAGTGGGTCCGCTTCTTGAAGCAGCGCTTACATTCTGGGCACATGTGGGTCTTGAACAAATATTTGGACTCCTCGGTGGCATTTCCTGCACAAGACAAATCGCAGTTCATTACAGAAAAATGAAAAGTAGAAGCCTGTTATGTGCTTTGTCTCACTTCCAGGAACAATCAGCTTTTTGAATAGGAATCACTTTTCATGTTTCTTCTTATAGAACTCCATGTTACTATTAAGAGCAGGGGTGATTTAAAGCAGGGTCCCCAATCCCTGCGCTGCGGCCCATTACCAGGCCATGGCCTATTCCAGTGATGGCGAACCTTTTAGAAACTGAGTGCCCAAACTGCATCCCAAAACCCACTTATGCATCGTCGAGTGCCGGGCGGGTGTGGCCCATTGGCTGGATGTGCCCCATTGGGTGGGCGTGGCCCATTGAGTGGGCGTGGCTGTGGTGGTAACGGCAGACTAGGTGGGACTAAAAAGTTCAATCAATCAATTCCAACTTTGCAAGATCTTTTTTTCCCCGCAACAAATTGAAATTGACTGATTGAACCTTTTTTTTTTTTGTACATGGCGGCGGAGGCCTAAAGCAAAAAGGTTTTATAAAACCCAGCTGAAGGCCTAGGACTGGGGCGACGGTGCGCGTGCCCACAGAGAGGGCTCTGAGTGCCGCCTCTGGCACCCGTGCCATAGGTTCGCCACCACTGGCCTATTCGGAATCGGGCCACATGCACATGTGTGCAGAGCTTAACTTGCACAAGTCAAGCTGTAAACGCATGTGTGTGCATGCTGGCCCTGCCACTCTTGCAGATCAAACTGTGTGCATGAGCACCAGCCTGCCACTCGCACGACCTGGTTCCCCTCTTCCTCTCCAGCCGGGCTGCCAAGCTGCAAAGGTTGGGGACCACTGATTTAGAGGCAATCTGAAAATTTGTCAATACCTACTAGGAAGTAGCTATTTTACACAGCATCCTATTTTACTCCAGAAAAAAAATGACATTTGTTTAAATGATTTCCGATCTTCTTTTCAGCAGATAATTACAATAATTAATTATAATCTTATTATCCTCCTCCCTATTAGACGTTATTCAAACCTCTTCAACCCTTTGTTTAATCCACATCTTTCTTAATCTTCAAATCCATAAAGTTCTTCTTCTGTCTTTTCTTCTTTGAGCAAAAAATCCATATAAAGTTTCCAGACTTTCAAAAGTTTTTGTTTTTCTCTCGAACCAAACAGATCAGTTTTGCCATTTGGACAAATTCCGAAATTTTCACAATTAACTTTTTCACTGTGGGATTTTATTATTCTTCCATTGCTATGTACACAATAATTACTGTACACAAAATCAATCTACTATATGTCTTTTCCACTTCATTGTACATAGATCCCAATAAAAGGAATTCTTGTTTCCTCACAATATTAACCTTTAAAATCCTTTGCATGATTCTATAAATTTGTATTCAAAGTTTCTTAGCATTCTCACAAGTCCACCTTGCAAGAAGTTTAAAATATTTTTGTATATTCTCTGGTGTCATATAGCAATATTACATCATTTTATTAAAAATGTCTCTTATATTATGACATAATATAAATTTAATACCAGTTACCCACATTCTCTCCCAAGTGTCCATCTCTATGTCATATCTAAAATTAATAGCCCATTAATTTTAAATCTTAACAAAGGTTTATACAATTTTTGCTATTACATATTTATCATTTGTGCATAATTCAATTTCAAATTCTGTCTTGTATTTTTCAATTCCAATTGTCTTTTTATCCATAAACTTTTAATGGTGCATGAGAACCATTGAAAACTAAGACTTTCTACAGTCAATTGTTCTCCAAACTTTATTTCTCTATCTCCCTGTATTAATAAATCTTGTTAGCCATTTCGCCCTATCTGCTATGCCTCTTCTACAAAATGCTTCCTGTGCTGAGGTCCATAAAGGTATTTTTAGGTACAACCTGGATTTGTATTTATTCCATACTCTCAATTTGGCATGGGGTATGCAAGGAACTGCTTACTGCAAGTAAAAATAACTAATTACAGAAACAAGAACCCAAAAGGGTTAAAGATGGGTGCATATCAGATGGAAATTAGGCTCTTGTACTTAGCACAAATGAAGATTAAATATTAAAGCGCTCTCAAAAAGAAACTGCTTTTCATTTCCATATTCCCCTGAAACTGCTCTTGTTAACCCTATTTGTTTCAACTATCATCCCTACTAATTCTGCCATTTTTCAAATTACATTTCTCTTAAGTAACGTAAATTTGCAATATTTGTACAAAGGGGTACTGAATAAGGTACATCACTCCACAATATTCCTTTCCATTCACCCTAGTCAAGTCCAGAGCGTATGATTACCTGTGTTTAGAAGCAGATTATCCGTCAATCCCTTTTTCATTATAGTAGGGAATTTGTCTTCCAAGTTTTCAGCAACTGTCTCTATGTCCTGCTGTATAGCTTCATCCAGATGGATTTGCCTGTGGAGCCCAAACTGCTTAATGTTTGCACTGATAAAGTCACAATGGTCACAATGAAATGGGAAGTGGTTCCTACGATGAAGCTCCATGTCCTCATGGTTTCGGAACAAAACTGGGCAGCCACGGTATGTACAGGCTATGGGTGATACCTGGTGAGCATGCCGAAGGTGTCCTCGGAGCTCCTTGCGATCCTCTGAACTATACTGACAGCCCTCCTCAGGACAGCCTTGAGCACCCTGGGGTTTGTGGTGCTCCTTAAAGTGCTCTTTCAGCTCAGTAGGCAGTGCAAATTCCATCTGACATATAGGACACAGGAGAGGTTCAGTGCAGAATTGAGGGTCTTGTCTAATTCCATCCAGAAAGTTCTGCCCTTCTGCCTGGCCAACAGTTGACTGTTCTCCTGAAACAGGTAAGTTTTAATTAGTGAGGCTTAAGGATAACCCTTGGAGATGAGGGAAGTTTTGCAAATTGTCATCTGAAAAGCTCACCACACTGATGCTGGGAGAGAAGGCTGGGATCAGGGAAGCTTCGTCCACACTGTTCACAAAAATAGAGTTCCACAACTTTGACTAAGACCTCTGGAAAAAAAAAAGTTAACATTTTATATTAAAAAACAAACAGGCCTCTCCCTTTCACCTCTCAGTACCAGTAGTTATAAACCTAGCACAAATATTCAATTCTTCTAAGGTCCATCAGGAACAATGACCGTAAATAATCTTCTCTAGGAACTACATCAAAACACTATTATCATTTATTTTAATAAACAGCATTGGCATCAAAGGGATTTGTGGGTTAAGCTTCCCTTGCAACAGGTTCCAAAAGCTATGTTCAAAAGCAAGATTATGATACAATACAATGTTTTTAAAAAAACAACAGAAATAATCTCTTCTAAAAGGAATGGAAATAAGTTAGGACTGAAATAAAGCTTTCTTCACAGATCTTCTAAAAAACACACTAGTTGATGTGGGTGGGGATGGGGGGAGAGAGGGACAACTTTAAGAATTTCAGGAGGTACATAGTTCCAAAGTATGGGGGTTACTAGAGAAGAGACTTATGGATTCATCCACCTCCTTTTACTTCAGAGAGAAGGGAGGTTTTTAACAGCCTTTCCAATATACTATCACCAGACAGGCAAATTCAATTCCATCAAGGCAATGGCTTATGTAACCTGGTGTTGTTATACAGGGTTTTGTAGGTACACTGAACTGGACCAAGAAACATATTGATAGTGAGTGCAGCAACTTCATGAGAGGCATTACTTCAGAATTGTGGAACCTGACCCCATAATCTTGCCATCGTATTATGGACCAATTGTAGTTTGGAATAGAATAGAATAGAATTCTTGATTGGCCAAGTGGGATGGGACACACAAGGAATTTGTCTCTGGTGCATAAGCTCTCAGTGTGCATACAACAACAAAGCGACATGTTCTATATCATAGATCAGACATGTCAAACTCGCGAAGTCACGTGACGTCGCGCGACATATCGGAACTTTTTCCCCATTGCCAGCAATGGGCTGGGCGCAGTTTCCTCGTGATTCGTCTGGCCCATGGGCCGGCAGTTTGACACCCCTGTCATAGATCATAGCTACAGTCATTAGTCATAAGATACAATAAGTGATAAATCACAGATCCCAATAGAAGGTAATAGGAAAGATGAGAAGATGAGAAGGATATCAATACAGTCCTACTATATGGGTAAATATCTTTAGGCCTAAGACAGTGCTGTGTGAATGTGAAATAATCTATCTTACAACATACCTGTTGGGTTACCTGGATTGTTGACAGCCATGGTGCTACTCATGGTTTCTACAAATATTTCAATACCACCTGTTTCTGTACCTACAACAGAAGCCTCTGTTAAGAGCAAATTCTGTCCCACTGGTAGACTTTCACTTGAGATGCCATGGCTGTCTTCATTTCCTGCAATTCCTGAGCCAGGTAATAACAACTCCTGGCAAAGCCCACTCATTTTGTCGTCTCCGATGGATTCTGTTGCTACTGCTCCTCTGCTCATTGTCTTTCCTCAAATAGCTTTACACCATGACATACAGATATAGATCCTGTAAAAAGAGACCCAAAAATCAAATAATCTTCTAAAAGGAAGTAAATAAGGATACATATAGTGTTTCCAAGGAAGATGTGTACAGAATGGACTGATAATACCCAATATTAACAAAGGAGAAAAAAAAACAGAGGAAGGCAGATGACAACCATCCTGGAATAGTGTTTGTGATAACTTCTTCCCTTCCCACAGGGGATTTGCTAAGTTAGCTGTGGCAGAAGATATTTAGAGAGGAAGGGACAAGGCCTCCTTAGCTAAACTCTGCCTTCCCTTTTAGGGCTATTACTACCATCTGCCCTGCAGAAAAGATACTAGACATTTACTTGCTTTTCAATATTTCCTGCATTTTATTTGTAGTTATTTATATAGATTCTAAATGCTTTGAAGGGATTAGTGTCTTTAAAGGTGGGACATCAATAACTGCAATAAAGAAATATATTGTTAACAGTAAAGAAATATATTGTTAACAGCTATAATTGCTCAGTATTGCTAGTAGCCACACCTGTGTAGAAGAAAATGCAGGAGGGCAATTGATATAGGATGTGAAATAATTCAGTACTTTGATCTTCCAACAGACTACATAAAAGAGAAATAATTGTACAGATACAAACACAATGATTTTCATACTAACACTCGCAAATAAGTGTAACCTGAATTTACACCCATAAGGATTTCCACTGAAATAGTTTTAACTTTAAATACATAGGATTTTAAATTGGGGCAAACAAGGATTATAAGGGATTTGGAAAAAAAGAGACATTGTTTTAATCTCATGAAGTCAAGATGAAAAGGGAAGGGCTAAAACGTCTTCTACCAATATTTTCAAATTAAAGCTGGAATGCACTAGTATGTTATCACAGATTGCTGATGGATTCAGATATAATAACTGGATTTACATTGCATATTAAATTATGATATAATTTGCTTGATCCTATCTTAGCATTTTATGTGAGAATCCCATTGTTCCAGCTTGTACATCATAATCTATGACATACTGTTTTGTGTAAGATGAGTCAATTCTGGTATTTCACACAAACTATAATTAAAGAAATCACAGTGTGTTATGTAAAGTCTGATTTATCAACAGGCATGCTAATACACACAGTCTAACTAGCCTGAGCTGAGGAAGCTCACCCCAAGGTAGGTTTATTATATATACATTTTTAATTTCAATCCAAAGAATAAACATAATTTTGCTTGCTTTTTTCACTTTAGCAGATAGCTCATTACTATCTTTTTAAATGCCTCTTATAATCATTTGTGTATGCATTTATTTATCTATCTATTTCATAATCCTAATAAAGCCATTTCTTGAATTACTTACATAATTTATTTTAATTATTTACGTATTTTTCTAAAGCCTAGCATTCAGTGACCCATTCATTACTCAACTATAGCCATTCCTGATCTGTTTAGTTCAACTAATTAATTGTATTATTGATGAAGGGCTACTTTATAGTATAGAAATCACATTAGCATGCATACATGTATTTAACTGAAAGACTGCTCTTAAGTAATTCCATAGGCTACAGATACAAGGGAAGAGCCAGCCAAAGGTATTTAATATTTCTGATCTGCATTCTCAGAAATTAATCTACACTATACTTGATGTTATAGAAAGGCTGAGTGATTTAGTCACAAACATGATTGATTGTTTAAAGAACAGGTTCCAGACCAAATGAATATAAATGGCTGCTGGCTAAAATGTGGAAGTGGCACGTATATTTGCAAACAATAAATAATTCTATCAGGAAAAGTTAAGGGTATGGTTTACAGTTACATGCATTGCAATTTCTGCGGAAAGAATATTTCACTATGATTATGTGCCACCAAGTCATTATCAATACTTAGTGACCACACAGATTATCTCCAAGATGATCTGTCCCTAACCTGGTCTTTTAGGTATTTCAACAATGTACTCATTGCCACTATAACTGAGTTCATCCATCTTGCTGTTAGTTCTCTTCTTTTGTTTCCCTCCACCTTTCCCAGAATTAGAGCCTTTTCCAGAGAGCTGAATCTTCAGATAATGTGTCCAAAGTAGGATAATTTGAGCCTGGTCACTTGTGCTTCAAGTGAGAATCCTGAATTGATTTGTTCAAAGAGCCATTTGGCTTGTTTTCTTGTTTGTCCATGGAATTCTCAGGTATCTTTTCCAACACCAAAGTTTAAAAGCAACAAAACTCTTTCTATCCAGCTTCTTCAAAGTCCAACTTTCACTTCCATAGAGTGTCACAGGGAATATCATGGCTTGCATGATTCTGGTCTTTGTACGTAAAGGCACATCATGGCATTTCAATATCTTTTTTAAGGAGTTTACAGCTGCTCTACCAAGGGCCAGTCTGCAACATATTTTTTGACTGCTTGTTCCTTTATCGTTGATCATTGATATAAAAGGCAGGAGCTATCCACGACATCAATATCTTCATTGTCAATTCGAAGGCTGATTGGGTTACTTGTTGTCATTAGTTTGATCTTTTTTACATTTAATTTTAGTCTCATTTTTTTTTCATCTTGCTCCTTGACATTTATGACCAGAGCTTGCAGATTCTTTGCATTTTTGGTTATCAGTATAGCACAGGTTATTGATGTTTCTTCCTCCAATTTTAAAACCACACTCATCTTCTTTCAATCCAATCTCTGTTAATATATATTTAGCATATAGACTGGAATACACAAGATGAAAGTACACAGATTGTCACACTCCTTTGTCATCCTGGAGCCAATCAGCTTCACCAAGTTCTGTCCATACTGTACATTATATATACAGGCAGTGCTTTTTTTCTAAAAAAAAAAAAAAAAAAAAAAAAGGTGCCGGAACTCACACCCATCATACAACCCGCCTTGCCTACCCTACAAGGTTCCATCCAAAAAAGGTGCCGGAACTCTGTTCTGGGCGTTCTACGAGAAAAAAAGCCCTGTATACAGGTAGTCCTGTCAACGTATGACAATGGAGCCCAAAATTTTTATTGCTAAGACAGTTGTTAAGCAAGTTGTGTCCCATTTTACAACCTTTTCTGCCACACTTAAGGGAATCACTGCAGTTGTTAAGTGAATCTGGCTTCCCCCACTGTCTTTGCTTGTCAGAAGACAGCTGGGAAGATTACAGATGGTGATCACATGATCTCAGGACAGTGCAACTGCCATAAGTACATGCCAGTTATCAAGCACTCAAATTTTGATCACGTGACCATGGGAATGTTGCAAAGTACGAAAACTGGTCACAAGTCACATTTTCAGTGCCACTGTGGTCACTAAATGAATGGCTGTAAATTGAGGACTATGTATACGTGCACATTACCCTATACTTTTATTTCCTGGATACAGGATTCCTTCATGGTATATCTCTTCTATATACTTTCAAGCTGCTCCGAGATGTTGAGAATTGGGTGATACGGAGGTTTTCTATATTATTATAATAGTTATTATAATAAAAACAGCATTGGTGATTAAGAACAGTAGCCAACTCATTAGGCAAGAGCAGGGCTTTTCAACCTTTTCACCCATTGTACCACTTTTAGGATATGGCAATATCCGAGTACCACTAGTCGCCTAGCAAGGTGTCAAAAACTTGATGACCAAAAAAAAAAAAGGAAAAAAGTGACAAAGTACAGGTAGTCCTCGACTTACAACAGTTCACTTAGTGACTGTTCGAAGTTACAATGGCACTGAAAAAAGTGCCCCCCAAGCCACAGCCGAGCAAGACACCTGCCTGCCCACCCGGCGGCGCTCTTCCTCCTGTCCTAGGTTTTCATTGTTGTGAGCATTTCTGTTGAGGATTGGCAGGGTGGGGTGGGGGAATATTTGGTTTTTATTCCCCCCATCTGCTGGGTGGTTGCAGCAGGTTTTGGTCACTTCACATGACCCTGGGACACTGTGACCATCATAAATATGAATCAGTTGCCAAGCATCTGAATGTAAATCACAAGACCCTGGAGGTGCTGCAACATTCCAGCTGATTGGTGCTTCTTCAGGGCTCAGCAGAAGCACCAGGATCAGCACCGAGCTCCAGCTGGAGCCTGGCGCTGATCCTGGCACTTCCACTGAGCCCTGACAGCCCTGCAGCTCCAGCCATCTCTCGCTCAGGCTTGTGCAGTGCTGCCACCGGATCAGCTCATTCCCCTCCCCCACTACCACTTTTCTAAAATGGTTGTGTACCACCTGCCAGGTGCCAATGTACCACAGGTGGTACCCGTACCACTGGTTGAAAAGCCCTGGGCAAGAGGAAAAGGATTAACTCACACACCCAGTTTCCTCTTCTTCTGGTGGGCTTTTTCTGCAACCTTCTGGATTCTGTATGCCAGGCACGAACCATTCTTGTCAGTCTCTGAAGTGCAAGAGAAAGGATACAAAACCACCAATTTGATGACAGCATGTTCTGGATCCAAATGACAAACAGCCAATTCTATAGGACTAACGAATCTCAACTGGAGCCGGGATCTGCTCCTCTCCAGGCCCCTCACAGCAGAGCCCCCCATTGTAGTACCCACGTTCAAAAATCCCTTAAGCATAAGGGATCCTCGAGAGCAGCACAGGGACCCACACCCCGTCAACCCCCCTCCCTAAAAAAGCCAATTTGGTCCTCTGCCTTTCTGGCTACCTATTTCCTTCTCCGCCCCAGGATAGCCCCACTGCCTTCCCTCGACAAAAACACCAGTCTTGACTCGCGCTTGCTCTCGCCTCTCCCCCTCCTCACCACTTACAATGCCCGGCTTCCCACTCCAGGCACCGGGTCTCAACGATTCCTCCTTCCCCGCGCCGGTAGGAAAGCATCCATGTTTTCCTCTCTAGCCTCTCTCCCCCTCCCTCTTTGTTGTTGCTTCGTCCGCGCTCTCCCCGAGCAACTCTATGGTAACCTTGGACACAGGCTTCGGCGTTGGGGGGATCGGAGGCGCCGCCCCCCAAGACAAGGTGTAGAGAGTGTCTTGCTGCGCGGTAGGTGCCTTAAAGCAAAGCAGGAGAAGAGCTCGTCATCTCCCCACAAATCAAAATCCCGATTTTCGGACTCCCTGCCGCGAAGGTTCGTATATAGGAACCCGGGAACCGACCGCTTTCCCAGAAACCATAGAGTGTTAGGGTAATTTCATAGAAAGTAGCCAGCCTTCGGTTCCGAAGCGAAAAATGAAGATAGAGCTAGGAAAATTAGAATCGCCCATGCCGACCTTTTCTCAGAACGAATCTCTGCTTTCGGTTCGTGTTTACTGTAAAAGGGCTTGACTCTCGAGTGGTTCCACGGTGCCTGTAAAAGTCGAGGAGTAGCAAGTGGCTGCTTTCCGTTTTATTTTAAACCAGTGTTTCTCAACCTTGACCATTTTAAGGCATGTGGACTTCAACTCCCAGAATTCCACAGCCAGCAATGCTGGCTGTGGAATTCTGGGAATTGAAGTCCACATGCCTTAAAATGGTCAAGGTTGAGAAACACTGGTTTAAACCGTTATTTCAATCTCAGGGACTTGAAGACCTGCGGCCTTTAAGTGCCAGAATTATGGGGGGGTTCTGAAAGTTGGTCCAGGCGCCTTAAAGACACCGAGGCTGAGAAAATCTGCTCTAAACTTATTCTTGCATATGCTACAGAGCTATCTCGGTAGGAACAAGAGGGCGGAGAGTCACCTCTCCCGATCAGGTGGAACCACAGAAGTGACGGGGCGGCGCTGATTGGAAGAGGGGAAGGTCGCTCAAGGAAGGGCAAGTAGGAGATCGTGTGTCTATAGTAGTATGCTGTACGCGGGAAGGTGGGAAGTGGGGTTTACTCAAGCTCCGGTTTGCAGTAGGAGGTAGGATAGCTTTCTCGTTCCTTTTATCTGCACGAGGCTGCATTTTTCTCCAGTAGATCTGGAGAGAGAGAGAGAGAGAGAGAGGAAAAGAGGACAAACCACTTTTTAAGCTTAAAACCGAAAGAGATCCTCTCCACCTTATTTTAACAGGTGAAGAGCAGTTATGGGAATCTGCACAGTTTCTGTTTTGTATGGGCGAGTAGAGACCAAGTTCTCTTTGATTCCTGAGTTTAGTTTGCTAAGCAACTGCACTACCCTGAAATGAATGGCTTGTAAGACCAGGCAGAGAGCCGTCTGGCATCGACACATTGCAAAAAGCCCGGTGTATTTGATGCAAGCTGTCCGTGCCTTTGAGTTTTGTCAGTAAACCGTTCATGGGTTTAACTGCTTTCTCCTTTATTTTTTCAGGTTTTAAAAGAAATGCCACACAGAGTGATTATTTAACTTTGGCACTATTTGCTCCTCCCACACACAATGCCTTTCTCTGACTTTGTCTTAGCCCTAAAGGACAATCCGTATTTTGGGGCAGGCTTTGGTCTAGTTGGTGTGGGCACAGCCTTGGCCCTGGCACGTAAGGGGGCCCAGGTTGGCATGATGGTTTTCAAACGGCATTATATGATCACCCTGGAAGTGCCAAGCAGGGACAAGAGTTACCACTGGCTGTTGAACTGGATATCTCACCATGCTAAGCACACCCAGCACCTGAGCGTGGAGACTTCTTACCTGCAACACGAGAGTGGCCGTGTCAGTACAAAATTTGACTTTATTCCCAGCCCTGGGAATCATTTCATTTGGTAAGGGAGACCATGAAATATCTCCAGGCTGCAAGTAGTGGGAAGATTATGAACATGAATAGATATATTTTGCAATAACTCCCAAATACCTCTATGGCAATAAGCAGGAGTTTTCAGTGCACAACTAACAGAAGAAAGTAAATTTAAATGTCTACATCCTGAACTTCAGTTTCTAAAATTGCAAAATAGGCAAAGATCAAGAAAACAGCAAAATGCATGCAGGAGAAATAGAATGGATATTTACAAGTGTGCAGTCAGAGCAAATTCTATATTCTGCTGAATCTCAAAGGATAGTTATGCCAATGATTTCCAACAGTGTGGCTAAATTTTTGTTTCAGCAAGTGTCTTATTTTTGAAACTTCATGCTGTTATTCTATACTCTCATGCCTCCATATTTAAGAATAAGTTGAACTCTAGGATTTAAAGGTAAGATAAAATCTCCCTTGAGCTTAGCTTAAATCCTTATTTCATGGGTGCATCTGTGCAGCTTTTTTTTTTTTTAGCAGTCATGCTGTTGCCTTATTCCATGGTGGATTTTTAAAGTTATTTTATTTTCATTTATTTGAATAATCAATTCCATTATTTCATTTCTATTTTTATTTTCTGATTTATCAATAGGAATTGATTTAAATATGAACTAGATTCAACTTCGTTTATCTTTTAAGATTAATCAATATCAGCTAAGCACTGACATTTTTTGTAACCTTATTTAATTTAATCTCCAGCAAACAAGCACACATATCTGGTTTTTATTCCTCCAATTCAGATCATGATGATAAAATATTTTGAAATGCTGTTTCGTTATTTTAATAGCTAAATCTCCTTTTGCACTATTTTGTTGTTTGCATTATACACATATAGTTTTATTTCTAAAAATTTGGAGCTATTTAAACAATGGAATAGAGACATTTTATGTAAGCAGAACTGATTGGATGGGTAACTTTTCCTTACTTCTATTACTGTAGTATCCTAGACTATATTGCTACAAGAGTAGAAGGAAACTCACAGAACAAATTTCTCTTTTCTGTTTTCCTTTTTCAGAAGACTGGAGAAAGTCCTGAGAAACATGAGCTATATAGCATGGGTAAACAGCAAAAATGGAATTTCAGGCAAAAAAATTCAGGCAAAAAGCAAAACCCAAATTTTTAAGCTTGTAAATTGGGAGAGTAGGTAGTCACAAAAGAGATTTCCTTGTGGTGTTATCTGTGCCATTGCCTTTTTTGGTTGGCCATAATTGATTATATATAAATCCTATGTTAAGTCTTGCTTGATTATAGATCAACAGGCATGGAAAAGGCTGTTTTGGAGGTGGAAGTCCAGAAAAGATTATCCTACTCAGGTGTTCCTTCCTCTGCTTTCAGGTATCAAAAGAAGTGGATACGTATAGAACGGAACCGGGAGAACCAGATGATTGATCTCCACACAGGCACTCCTTGGGAGTCTGTCACATTTACAGCAGTTGGCAATAAAAGAGAAATTTTTTTCAACATTATGCAAGAAGGTATGTTAGCACCCCAAATACCTAGCACCCCTGAATGTAATATTGCTCAGAGCAAAGTCCCAAACCAACCAGATTTGGACATTGTGTCTAAACAGACAATCTCTTCTATGTGGTATTTTGATTCCTTTTTGTTTCTAGGAATTGGCTTTTTTTCTGTTTTGTCCTGGCTTCCTTCCGAATTATAGCCATATATTTTGTATAATTCACATTTTACTTTCTCTTTAGCCAGGGAATTGGCTCTGAAACAACAAGAAGGCAAAACAGTAATGTATACAGCAATGGCTGCTGAATGGCGGCCATTTGGTTTCCCACGACGACAACGCCCACTCACCTCTGTAGTGTTTGACAAAGGAATATCAGAGAGGATTGTGCAAGATGTGAAAGAGTTCGTTGATAACCCCAAGTGGTACATTGATCGAGGTGAGTGCATTTCAGAGGCTGGCAATGAGATGACATAATACGCTGATTCTCCTTTATAGATAAATCAGGATATATTTGATGCCAAATACACAGAGCACATATTCTCTCCTCTTGTCTAATATCTATATTCAGTGTTTCAAGAACTAAAGGAGAGGAGACAACAGGCATCCCAGTCTTGTCTCTTTTTTTGTATCTCAAAAGGTTTTGTTAGTTTGCAATTCACAATTCATTCACCATTATTTGTGCTTTCTCTGAAGTGTAAATCAATCTTATGCATTTACAGTAATAGAATTCTCTCAAAAATTCATATCTTCTAAAATTTTAATAAGGAAGGCCCAGTTCAAATTTCCAAAGGTCTTATGTGCATCTGTCTAAGAAAATAATGCAGCTTGCTTTTCATTATGCTGCTCCAAGTATTCCAAAATGTCTAGGATATTTCTTAAAAGACAATTAAATCTTCTAGGTCAAACTCACATTAATCCTTTTGAATAAATGCTTGCAAAATTATTTTCAATTGGAGCCATGTAGTCTGCAGGGATGCTGAAGGTGAAGCAGCCTGCTCTCCTTTCCCAGTCTGAGCTCTGGGAACCAGTGGGGCAAGAAAGAGGTCCAAGGCCTACAGGAACCCTAAGAAGTAGGAAGTGGAGCATGTGGTGCTTGATGGGCAGGCAAATATGTAATATCAATAGTAATAGCACTTAGACTTAAATACCATTTCATAATGCTTTACAACTCTCTCTAAGCAGTTTTACAGAGTTAGCATATTGCCCCCAACAATCTGAATCCTCATTTTACCCACCCCGGAAGCTGGAAGCTGGGGAGATGCTGAAGTTTAGGCCTGGGCCTGTGCTAGACCTTCCAGGGACTCTCCCACTCACGAAGAACCCATGCTTTGCTTAATGATCCGTACCGTCATTAGCCCACACCATGTGGGAGTCTCATTTAACAACCATCACAGCTTGTGATTGTAATTGGCAGGTTCCATTATGGTCGTAAGTTGAGGACAGCCTGTAAAGTAGTCTTTTAATAAAGTTACATATAATTTCACCCAGGATAAGCCTAAACCGTAAGACTGTAAGAGGATAAGAAAATGGACTTCACCATTTTCACCACAATGCAAGTACTCTTGTGCAATTTTTTCACAATATCTGGAGCTGATCATTAGAAAACTGTTTCCTTGTTTAGAAGTGGCAGAAAAATTATTTGCGTACTTCTAGAGCATGGTGATTATAACTCATAAAGTAGAAAATTGGATAATTGAATGGTGTCTTCTGATTAGATATTTTCTTCACAGGAATACCTTACCGGAGAGGATACTTGCTGTATGGGCCCCCAGGTTGTGGCAAGAGCAGTTTCATGTAAGTGTGGGCTCTCTGTAGTCTTGATATTGAACCTGTTCTCAAAAAAGTGTCCCTTCTCCCCATCCTTATTTAACAGTGTTTGAGAATATTGTATGCCACTGTGTAATTGGAAGAGGTTTGATTTGATTCTAAGATATCTCGAAGTGGTAACACTTGTGTTTGAGTGGAATTAAATTGTCATTTGAGCAAAAGGGTTAAATGTTTTTAAATTAATCATTGGTAGACCAATTAGAACAGGGTTTCTCAACCTTGACAATTTTAAGATGTATGGACTTCAATTCCCAGAATTCCCCAGCCAGCATGGCTGGCTGGGGAATTTTGGGAATTGAAGTCCATACATCTTAAAATTGTCAAGGTTGAGAAACCCTGAATTAGAACAAGTATTTTAGGATCTTTTTAAAGGCCAAATTAATGGCAGTCACCTATATTAGGAAGTAACTTTCACAAAATGCAGGGCATAAAAGTGATGTCATAAATGTACTTTTGTGGACTTAGAAATAGTTTTTCAGCAGGGAGCAAAGTGATAAGGGCTTGCTAACTTAGCGTCTCCCTTTCCTCATAATTTGTGATGTTTGAGGCAGAACCATTCACACAATTTTGATACTTATTGTCTCTTTCCCTGCAAGCTGAGTTATATCAAGATACATTATATGGTTCAAAAGTGTTTTTGGTTCAACCTATTGCACAGTTAGAATTTGCTGTTTTTAACTGCTCCAAGTGGATTCACCTGTGGAATATTTCTTCTTAGAAGTGATGATAAAAGCCATCCTAGAGAGAATATAGTACATATATGTCAAGAAAGCAAGAAGTAATGGAGCCATCATGGGGGAAAAGGGATATAATTCTCAGAGAATCTGATCCTGAACAAAACTTTAATCACAATATGTTTTCTTAAGATGTAAAGTGCAACTTGATTATGTTATTCTAGAATAGTATCCTCTTACTCTGAACCTTTTTATTTAATAGTGATTTGGGCTAATTTAGAAGTTAACGTGGTGGTTCCCTGTGTGTAAACGCAGAACTCTATTTACATAGATATGGAGCAAACAAAGGTGTTTAAATTCTGAGAGGAAAATGTGGAGGAGCTCCTCCCCTCTTTTCAAACGCTTTTTTTTTCTTGCATGTTTACATTCTGAAATGAAACTCCTACCTATTACAGCACAGCCCTGGCTGGAAAATTGCAGTACAGCATCTGTCTTCTGAGCCTGAGTGATCGAAGTCTCTCAGATGATCGTCTCAATCATTTGCTGAGTGTAGCTCCACAACAGAGCATCATCCTCTTGGAAGACATAGATGCGGCCTTTGTCAGTCGGGACCTGGCTGCTGAAAGTGAGTGAGAGACACGTGCTCCTTCTTGCTTCCTATTCCAAACTGTCTTATTCCTTCATTCCAGCTGGAGCCTAACTTTGAACCTGTCACAGAGTCATTGTATCATGGAGATGTCATATGAAATGCCTTGTTGAAGCAGTTTTCCTTTAATTCTAGGAATAAGCCACCTTCTCATGGCCAAGGGCTGCAGTTAGCATTTTTCCAGGGCTGAGGGCTACAAAATGGCTAGAATAACACCACACATGTGTATGTAAGCTTGGAGGGGGTGGGTCTTGGAAGGATTGAATTTTTTTGCCTTTTAATAGTGATGTGTCTAGTTTACTAATTGCTAATTTTGTATGTGTTCCAATGAAATGCATTCCCTCTAACATGGTTAGAAAATAGAATAGAATAACAGAGTTGGAAGGGACCTTAGAGGTCTTCTAGTCCAACCCCCTGCTCAGGCAGGAAACCCTATACCATTTCAGACAAATGGTTGTTCAAATTCTTCTTAAAACTTCCAGCGTTGGAGCATTCACAACTTCTGGAGGCAAGTTGTCCAACTGATTAATTGTTCTAACTGTCAGGAAATTTCTTCTTAGTTCTAGGTTGCTTCTCTCCTTAATTATTTTCCATCCATTACTTCTTGTCCTGCCCTCAGGTGTTTTGGAGAATAATTTGACTCCCTCTTCTTTGCGGCAACCCCTCGGATATTGGAACATTGCTGTCATGTCACCCCTAATCCTTCTTTTCATTAAACTAGACATACCCAATTCCAGCAGCTGTTCTTTATATGTTTTAGCTCCAGTCCCCTGATCATCTTTGTTGCTCTTCTCTGCACTCTTTCTAGAGTCTCAACATCTTTTTTACATCATGGAGACCAAAATTGGATGCCATATTCCAAATGTGGCCTTACCAAGGCATTATAAAGTGGTATTAACACTTCACATGATCTTGATTCTATTCTTCTGTTCATGCAGCCTAGAACTGTTGGCTTTTTTGGCAGCTGCAGCACACTGCTGGCTCAAATGATGCCATCAGTTTTCTGCAGCCATGATTAGAAGATGTTCCAAGTACTACTAATCCAGGAATTGGGCTGCAGGTCATCTACTTTTGCCTACCCCAGATTAAAGATTGCTCTGATAAGCAATCAGTTCAGAACTTAACAGTAGTATATTGCCCTTCTCCTCCCACATAGCAAAAGAGAGAGAAAGAATAGTTTGCCAACCTTGGTTAGCATCATATTTGTAACCGTTCGAATATCTGCTGGTAACCTGCAAATTCTTAAATCAGATACCTTTGAAAGAATACAGCCCTTGATAGAAAAAAAAAGTTTTATTTTTTTTCTCTCGGTGGTACTGTGTAGTGGGAATAAGAATTATGGGAGCTCTAAAATCAGTTGGCGAAGCTGCTCCTACATCCAAGCAGAATTTAGTAATATTTATGTCTTTACTCATACTGTTAGTTTTCTTTTATTCCATATTTCTGAATAACTTTGTTACTTTTTCTCTTCAGATCCTGTTGCATATCAAGGCATGGGACGTTTAACATTCAGTGGCCTTCTCAATGCGTTGGATGGTGTAGCTTCTTCTGAAGCCAGACTAGTATTTATGACTACCAATTATATGGACAGGTTAGAACTGATGCACAAAAAATGGGATAGGTGGGGATTATTAACTTAGCCGACCTTTTGACTTAGAAGAACATTCATATGGGCTAAGTAAGAACGGTTGCTAATAATGGTGACATAACTAGTTAGCAGTTTTTGCTCTAGCTCAGGAGTGTCAAACTGCCGGCCCACAGGCTGGATGCATCACACGGAAGCCGCGCCCACCCCAGCTTCGGCAAGGGGAAAAAAGTCACGGTCGTCGCAACACGTGACGTGACACAGTGAGTTTGACACCCCGGCTCTAGTTGCTAAATCAAAACCAAAGAATAGGAAAACAAACAGCTGCCATTCCCAGAGTTTCTTCCAGTTTGTCAATTTCCAGTCATAGTATTGTTCCCAGTGATGCCCTGTATCAGCTGCACGCTGAAACACTAGTGCAGGGGTGTCAAACTCGCAACGTTACGTGACGTGTCGCAACATATCGTGACTTTTTTGCCATTGTCGGCAATGGAGTGGGTGTGGTTTCACTATGATGCATCTGGCCCACAGGCCGGCAGTTTGACACCCCTGCACTAGTGGAAGCCCTAATGGTTTGATGACATAAATCAATATATCCCACTTTATCTCATGCAATATCCAAGCAAATTGTTAAAAAAAAAAGCTTGTGGCACCCCTCTTGTTCAAAAGACAGCAAAGGTATAAACTCTCCTAAGGCAAGTGTTGACTGACAAAAGAACGTAGTAGGGCATTATTTTGGAGGAGAAAACAGGAGAAAGAAATCAAAGAAAAGAGAGGCTCTTGTGAAGTGTCATAGAAACCTCATCTGTATAACTTTCAGCTTTTCTTCCCAAGCACGGGGCAATGCTAGCCATACAGCCTGCTAAGAAAGAATCATAGGTCAAGTATTATGGAGTGACAAGGCTGAAATGTGTTGGCAGTGGCATTGTCATTAATGGCCTTGGTCATGATTTGAAACATTTGCAACATTGAACCTGCAAAATATACATGTAGTTTTCGCTGTTACCTTTCCTGGCTTCATGTTGGCTGCTAGGATTGTAGCAAGGAGGTGGGTAATTTGAAGGTAGGTGATAGAGAAGGAGGAAGAAGAGGATATATATCTATGTTAGGCTATATAAGCTTTAGATATGATTCTGTAAAGGAGGTTCATAGTTTGTGCGAGTGCAGTTATAACATTAAACTAGCTAGGATTGATTCTAACTATGTAGTAGCTATGAAAATAGACACAGCTGCTTTAATGAATCAGAACTGAATATGAAGCATTGTATAGTTATTCTGTGTAAAGTGGATATGGGCACAATTGTTTAAAATGCTACTTTGTGCTCTACATACCTTAGTGATAGTTCTTCCTTATTCTGTGCAGGACTCTTTAGTGTGGATTGATGTAGTACAGCTGAGGAAGAACTAAAAGATTTAATTAAAATAGGACCTCTGTTGGTATTAATATATTTACTGGCCACCAAATTTATATTTTTTCTGAATATGGTGGCCAATTATACATTACAGATAAAATAAAACAAGATTTTATTTTAAGAGAAAGTTTTTTAGCCTTGTTCTTTTTGGAATTTTAGAAATAGCAGCATTTTGGGCTTGTGTATAAAGAGGGAAGCTATATTTGGAAGGTTAAACTTTTACTGAGCTCCTTTGTTGTTTTTTTCACTTCCTGCAGGCTGGATCCAGCCCTGATTCGCCCAGGCCGGGTAGACCTCAAACAGTACATTGGGCATTGTTCGGAGTGGCAGTTCAAACAGATGTTCCACAAATTCTATCCAGACCAGCCATCTGTTCTAGCTGAGCAATTTGCTAAACGAGCCCTTTCTGTCTCTGTTAAAATCAGCGCCGCACAAGTTCAAGGTTATTTCATGTTACACAAAGCGGATCCAGTTAAAGCCATTCAGAATGTAGAGATGCTTATATCTTGATTCTGAACGAATACTGAGAAAACATTGAAGGTAGTTGCCTGGGCTGTTCACCCAGCACACAGTAAGTAAGGGGGATACCATCAATATTTCTGTCTCAGTGAGGTGGTCCTTTTAGTAAAAATAAAAATAAAGAATAAACCAACCAATCTCATTGCACTTCTCTGAAAAAGAAATTGAATATGGAGTTCAGATTGAATGACTTCTCCCTTCCCATCTCCAGACGAGTCTGTGCCTCAATAACTGCAGTAGTAATATACTGAGGAGGCACTTGGTTTTTTAGAATTGATGGCTCTAGGGCAGGGGTCGGCAACCTTGGCTCTTTTATGACTCGTGGACTGGCTCAGGAATTCTGGGAGTTGAAGTCCATGAGTCATAAAAGCCAAGGTTGCCTACCCCTGCTCTAGGGCATACCATTCAGCTTCAAGCAACTTACAAGCTCCAGAAAGGAAACAAGGCATCTCTCTTCTAGAACGTCTTACTTGTAAGCCTACATCAAAATCAGATCTGCCTTGTCATGATCTTCTAAGGTCAGAAAATGGTGACTACAGAGCAGCAGCAAAGCCTCTTAATAGGCTAACTGTATGTGTGGGCAGTTCAATGTATTGCAAATAGATTGGTTTTAATTCTGCCTGAAGGAAGTGGAATCTATCTGCTAGCATTAGGGGTTAAATGCTTTTCATAGAATATGATATTGAAATACAGCAACCTGTTTCTCATATTGCTCTTACGTCGCTCTGAATCTGTTTTGATCTGTGGACTTCCACTGTCTTTGTACTGAGAACATAGTCTGTCTATAACTGTTCCAGCCCATTCTCGCAAATACCAACAAATGCAGCCAAGGAAGACTCCTGCTACTCTTACTTTCACCCCTTAAAGAACCAAACATTGTTTTGTTTTTTCAGATCATTGTCACTAGCACAGGGGTCCCCAACCCCCAGTCTGTGGATCAGTACTGGTCTGTGGCATGCCATCAACCGGTCCGCACTAACAAGCAAAGCCCTATCCGCGAGATGGAGGCAGCACACAAAACCACGCACCCTCCAATCCACGGAAAAACCTCTCTCCACGGAACGGGTCCCTGGTGCCCAAAAGGTTAGGGACCTCTGCACTAGCACACCAATTTGTGAGGCATAATAACCCTACAAAAGTTCTGGAAATGACAACTAAAAGGCAGCACTGAGTTGTCTGTACCTCTCCATCTTCTAGAGCAGGGGTAGTCAACCTTGGCTCTTTTATGACTCGTGGACTTCAATTCCCAGAATTCCTGAGCCAGCCAAGCTGGCTCAGGAATTCTGGGAGTTGAAGTCCACGAGTCATAAAAGAGCCAAGGTTGCCTACCCCTGTTCTAGAGCAAGGGTCCCCAACCCCCGGTCCGTGGACCGGTACTGGGCTGCAGCATGTCAGCAACCGGTCCGCACAAACAAGCAAAGCCCCATCTGTGGAATGCAGGCAGCATACAAAACTATACAGACCCCTCTGGTCTGCGGAAAAATCTCCACATAACTGGTCCCTGGTGCCCAAACGGTTGGGGACCTCTGTTCTAGAGCCCTTTCATCATATTCTTCAATCTATCTTGATTAAAGCCTTCATTATGCTAACTACATCATTTGTTGAGGAAAATACCCTGAGAACATTATTAAGTTTTATAGAGTTTTATAGAAATATAGTATTTCTGTATGGCGTTGTTAAAAAACAATTCAAAGAAGAAACAAGTCAGCCGATGAAAATTGATTCTAAAGGGACCTGATTCTGATCTAGTTACTACTGGGATCCAATCCAATCAAGTATTTTTCTCTGAAACTATTTTCCACATTCCTTCCATGGCAAGAATCAAAATCTGACATGTAATTGAATCATGGTTTACTGTATTAATAAAGTATACTATAATGTATTACAGCATAAGTGTTGTATAAGCCCAGTTGAAACTGTATTTCCCTACTCACCCCTATGCATATTATGAGTCTTCCTCAATCTTGGGTCCTCTAAGAGAGCCTGGGAGTTTGAAGCTTCTGTGCAGTATCTTAGCTATTCCTAACACTGCACTCTTCTGGACAGAGAGCTCCAAGGTTGTTCCTGGGGTCTGTTGGAGAGGTCAGAGCCCTGAATGCTGTCACCATTGAGACTAATTTGCTTTCCATATCTTGTCTAGTTCTTCCTTCAGGTCAGATATTTCTCCAGCTTCTCATACTTCTTCCTAATGCTGCCGTCACTTGGTACTGATATGTTTATCATCACTGCTGTCTTCTGGTCCTTGTCTACTATCACAATGTTTGATTATTGTCTATAATACTGCCTGGATCTGGAAATCTCATGGGATCTTAGCCCTCTTATGTGATCCAAGACCTTCTGTGGAATCTCCTACCTGGACTTGGGAGGCTATAACAAATATATTGCAGATGTTCCTGTACACAGGGCCAGCTACTTGGTTGTGCTGCTCAGTGTATGTTGTCCCTGCCTGCAATATACTGCTGGTTTTAAACTGAATATAATTAATATATTAATATAATTAAAAATGTCCAACTTTTGCAGAATTAGGCAAGCCATAATATACCAAAAACACGTGGCTGTAGAATTTGTGTGCTCACATTAGGCTTCCCATGTTCCATTCATAATAGAGGATACGACTACTTAGGTAACTCTAAGCAAAAACCCGTAACAGACTGAAAGACAGTATTATGAAGGGATTGATCGAGTCTGGTGTAGTACAATAGCGACTATTAAATTTTCCTCAGCAAAACAGATTCATAGGTTGGCTTATCCAGGTGGACTTTAATGCTCATTTTTGTTTTTGCTTCACATTGCCACAAATTTCATTACAGGTGAAGAACTGAGTTTAATTTCAGTTCTTTCATGATCCGAGCCACTCAAACTGGACTGTACCTATGCATACCATTAATCAGAAATGTAATCTTTCAGCTTTCAGAATGAAAACATTAAGCAATTCTATCTGGAGGTTCATTTTGGCCATTCTAGCCAGTAGTTGTATTGCACATGTCCTTGCTCCAGTGTTTGGGCCAAGAGTAGGAACATTGTCAGATGGCAACATTTCTTTACACAGACATAAAGGAAACAGCTTAAAAAATACTCTCACAGAGTCACAGGATTTTTTTTTTCCAACATAGTGAAAATCATAAATATAAATCAAAGTGGGATTTAACAAATTGGAGGAAATTACCCTCAGCATTTGCATACAAATATATACCGGTACGTAAGAGGTGAACCTAACTCAAGTCTATACTTTTATCAGGGGAATGTTCATATGATCCCAAAATATATTGATACAAGTTTTAATTTCTGAGAACTACTGAATGTAATACATGTGCGCATGTGCATGTGGGTGTATGTGAGCAAAAATACATTTACATTTTCCCCTCTCCAGTATTATGGTAGAATGCAATCCTCTGATCCCAAGATTGGGTACAACAAATTTGGGCCAAAAATGGCAGAAGACAAGAAATTCACTGCTTGCATAGCTTTTTATATTTCTGGCACACTGGCATCTAGAATTAACGGGCTCAGTGTAATCGCTTTTTTGAAATACAACTCTGGACAGCAACTGTTTAATCATATCATAAACTAAAAGGTACTTTGGTACTGACAGTAGTGAAAAGATCACTAAAAAAAAGCAACACCCACATCTCAGTATGCAGCTTAACTGCAGACTGTGGTGGTTCAGAGGACCATTTACACATAATAGGATTAATTCCAAGGGTCAATTCTAAATTAATCTGACACTATAGTGCACTCTTGCCATCATGTCTAGCACTAGTGACCATAAATAGTAAGCAACATAACAAATCTGATCCAAACTCCTGGACAATAAAGAGAAAGACCTATACCTCTTTATTTTTTTTCCAAAAAAAATAAAAATATTTCTAAAAGTGTTTAACAGTGCATTTTCCCAATGGCCTTTCTAACTAAGGGATTTCACCTCCTGATCATTGCAACAATTCCATTTTGCTAGAAGGTATTTCAATATACATAGAAACTCTGTTTCACTATCATTTATTGCTCTCTCAAATTATGTATTTGTCCCTTTGCAGCATTCTAATCCTCACAGAATATTTTTCATAAAGCTGATGCCATCGCACAAGTCCTACTGCCAGTGCTTTAGAGAAAACTCCCAAGAACAGCTGGGTTCCCCCCCCCCCCAAATAAGGAAAAGTCAATGTCTGAAAGGCAACGTGACAAAGCAATCAGTGTCCTCCCTTTGATCGCCACCAGCTAAGAACCTTCTTCATTCTTTGGACCTTGCAATTCTTTCTGTGGCCTTGGTCTGGATTGCCCCCGACCTCTTGGCATTCTGGGATAAGTTACATACTCTCTCCCTTCGGTCTTTTCCCATCTCTCACAGTTCTGAATACCATGCTGACCTTGCCATGAGTTCTGTCCTCTGAGTTCCCCATGGCAAATGTCCACTTTCTCTCTGTTGGAGGCTTGAGTTTTTGGCATTGGTATCCACTTCTCCATGTTGTATTTCTCTTCTTTGGCCAATGGGAGACGTTTGGCGCACAGATCCTTTTTATCCAAGAATGAAGGCTCCTGGTTTCGGCTATAAGATTTTGAAATATCTTGGTTGTATCTCCCATAGTTCCACCGCTCTCTTTCCTTCTTCCAGTTAGATCTCCTACTTAAGGCTTCAGATTCTTCCTCAACATACTTTCCTGTTGCCATCTCGAATGTCTTATAATGTAATTGCCAGCTAGGATTTTGTAAAGATGGCTTCTCCGCTCGATTTCTCTCTCTCCTATTATGGTGATGGAAAGTAAGAGATGATTTACCTGTATTTTTTAGCTCATCACTCATGGGTGTTGTACTTGTTTGAGTATATTCTGAAGCGGCTGGTGACTTCAGCTCATTCTTAGTTCCCAGGTCATTTTCTGAGATGGCTGTATGGTCATATTCCTTGACATCGGAGGGCTGAGAAGAAAGCAAACCAATTAGAAAGATCATGCAGCATGGGCTAAAATATTGGTGTCACCAAATTCATATTCTCCAGCTTGATTCTATAATAAATCTCTCATTGCAAGAAGGCTGCAACATGCTCTTGACAACAAGAGCCATCCAAAATGGCTTTGATATTTCAATCTTAATCAATTACCTAAAAGACACTTATGGAATTGCTTAAGACAGTGGTTCTCAACCTGTGGGTCGGGACCCCATTTGGGGTCAATCGACCATTTCACGGGGGTCGCCAAGCAAGGCTGTCCGCCATTTTTTTTGTCCACCATTTTTTTTCCCCTTTTCCGGCGGGTGCCTTACCTCCCTTGGGCTGGGCCAGCTGATGGTCGGCCTGCTCCGTCTCTGCCGCTTGCCAGCTACGCCTTGGCCAGCGCAGGGGGCGGAACCACGCATGCGCGGCGCTCCCGGGCAGGGAAAGTCCTTGACCTACGACCGGTTGGGTAGTCCTCGACTTACGACCGGTTTACTCCTCGACTTACGACCAGTTTAGTCCTCGACTTACGACCGGTTGGGGTCACGGCATTAAAAAGGTTGAGAACCACTGGCTTAAGATGTAAATATCTTCTGCTCCAAGACTGTCAACCAAGTAAAAGCTTATTTTTCATTCCCTGCACAGAGGATTAATAGCTTCCTGATTTTGGATGCTATTCAGTTTCTCCCTTCTTTCCTTAATAACCCTTTTTCCTTCTATTCTGCCGATCCACTCACCCTTTGCAGGGTAACAAAATAGCGATTTCTCTCCAGCTCCACATCAATGATGCCGCCTTTTTCTTGCTGCCTCCGGAAGTGCTGACGCAGCTGCTCTCTGTGTTGCAGTGTCTGTTGGTCAGGCTGGTATACTTCCTGAGGGGGAACAACACCTTGTATTTCAGGAGTGGAACTTTTAGGCCCAACACTATAACTATGGTGCCCCCACCTGGAAAGGTGCAGAGTTTAGATAAAGCAGAAAAAAAAAAGATCTTGACATCGTTCTTAGAAGGACAAATGGTTTAGGCAGACCTCCCTCTCCCAAGCTGAGCTCTTCAGACATCCTACACTAAAACCTGCATCATTCTCAGATCTACCTGAGCAGAGAAACTTATTTAGATTTTGCGCTACACATTAGGCTATGTGCACACAGCTAAAAATTGTTATACATTGTGAGAATGAGAACATGCTGTGGACAGTTAGCCATTTTGTTTCTCCATCCCTCCCACCTCCCGCTGAGCTACAGAGCCCCACTGATGTCACTGTCTATAAATGATTCAGCAAAAACTGATATGACGTGTGGGGTTTAGGCTACAATCCTAAACCACTGGTTTGTTCCATCTTTTAAACAGCAATGGTTCCATGCAAAAGGTTTGGTTGCCAATTTTCCTTACCATTGACTGCTGCGGTAATGGTGCTGCCTGCAATGTGGCAAGGTCATACGCTAGAGGCTCCCTGCACACAGGGCATTGCACTTCAATATCCTATATGCAAGAAAAGATAACAGAAACAACCATAAGCATTGTGTGATTAGGCCACACCATGGGATATTCTGTTTCTACCTTCATACCCCTCTGATGCTCTGCCTTAGTGGATAACAAACGCTTTAAGACAAGTCCATGGCTACTTCTCAATCAAAAGCAATTATCCCAGCACTCGGTACTAATGGAAAAGCCTGGATCCCAAACTTTTTACCTAGGTCTTCTAAGAGTGCCCTCCCAAGTGCCACAACTGAGAGGAAACAGTATGGCACACTCCCAATTATGTTATTATCCATGATGGAGTCTCTTTGGCATTTCATGCTTTTTTTTTTTTTGCATTGCTGCAGCAATTTTACCTCTAACTACCACAATTCTTGAGATCTCAGGGAAAGATGCATTCAGTGCTGCCCTCCTCTCTTATTTTTATGGAGGAAGAAAGAATCATTTCATATCTTGACAAATAGCATATCCCACAAAAGACTTATCCAGAACATAAAACATATTCTCATCTTTTTTCATTCACTAAAAAAGAATCATCTTGGTCAAAATGTAACAATTTCCCTGAAGAAAAACCTGGAATCTATTCTTCAAGAATAATGCACATGGTTTTTGTTCATCTATAACAAAAGCCAGAAAGATGACCTCTATTCACAGAACCTTACTAAAATACTGCAGAGAAAAAGACATATTATTCATCTCCCACAAATTTTAAATCAGAATATTTCCAGAATATTGCATCAGTAAAAGGGAAGCTGTTTATCATTTAGCCTTAATAATTTTATTACAATTCATTGTTATCTCCAATATTTTGTCCAGGTTCACAGTGCCATAATTGAACAAACTGAAATAACCTGGTAATATTGACCTAAACTAAGAAGCCATTCCTGAAGAAAAGAACAGTCAAGCAGCTGCAGTGGAAGAATTCATTACCTCTTTGGACACAGGTGTCAAATGCTGCATTCTTTCTTTCTTCTGTGCCTTGATTTCTTTCTCCATATACTCTATGTAACTAGCAAGACAACGTGAGTGGAAGTAGTGGTAACATGGGGTTTTGGTGAAAGCCTCATTTTCCTGTGAAGATGAAAGTAGAGATTCTCAGGAGTACATTGAGCATTATTCTTTCAGGAAATATTGGAGAGGGCAGTGTTTGCCACATTTAAAGTCTACTCCCATAACAGATTAACTCCAAAGAATCATATAAAACTTCCTGCATATAACTAATGGATTTCTTGTTTTTTATTCCACAAAATACTGTATCCTGTTCTTTTGTGTGAAAAGCTGCTTCTAAGGGCGGGTAGGTAGCATTTTCATGTAGGCTACAGAAACAGAAGTATGCCCCCTAATAAACTCCTATGCCATATTCAATTTTCCTAAAATCCCCATTCAATTCTCTTTTGCATCAAGTTAACTGCATCACGACAATCTAAGAGATTCCTATCTAGACATCTTTTCAAGAAGCTCACCCACATTTCATTTTTTGTTCGCCTTAATGATTTCAATTCCTCTGGTTCCCAAAATGATTTTTTTTAAAAAATGCTAAGTCCACAATGCCCTTACCTGAAAGCCATACAGGCAAATCACGCACTGCCCATGAGGGATGTTGTTGTCTGTGAGGATTTCTTTTCCCTTCTTGTTGAGAGAAAAAGCCAGTGTGTAATTTCACATCCTAAAGCAGACAGTCCAAGCTAAAACCATTCCTGACCGCCACCCTGTATAACCTCACAGATCTCTCTCCTGTCCTCTTACCTCTATTAGTTCATAGAGCACAGGTGTACCCAGCTGACTCTCAGCAATACATCGCAGTGTCTGAGAAATTCTAGATAGGCAGAAAAGGGGCATCAAGAGAAAAACCAGAGGGCAATACTTAATAAAGTGGCTAAATTGACCAAACGCAATGACAAGCTGAACACTAATACAAGCCCAGGCTCAATCTGAGAGACTGTAATATGCAGCCCTGCACAAAAAAAGATACTTCCAAACACTTTAAAAGGAATGACAATAGGAAATAATTATACTCTCAGTATATTATGTCATATGGATAGGCTACCACTACCTGTGGAATGATCACAGAAAAGGAACCCAAGCTGCCTTTGCCATGGGATGTTATTGCCATGGGGATGAATGAATCTATGACAGTGGCTTAATACTGCAAGGCTCCCCTCAGCTTACCCCATGGTGGGGTTACATTTGCCTCCTCATTTGATAAGCAGCAACAGCAGCTTGGGTTGCCCAGCCTTTCTGAGTGTCCTCTGAGAAAAGGGAGAGGGCAAGGCCTTACGGGTATTGGTAAGGCAGGTGTAAAGAAATGTGGAGCAGACAACTCTGTCCATCTGGTGCTTTAGCTGATCAAAAATTTCTTCCATAAAGTTCTCCTTTAACGCCCTCTCCCAAAATAAATCCCATACACTGGACAATAATTTTTTCCCCAAAAATTTTGCTTCCTGAAAAAGTTTTGATGTGTATGATAAACCTCTTTAAACTGAACACGGATATAATTTCAGAATGACTGCATCACACAGGAATCTTGGGAAACATGAAATTAACTTTCAACGACTATATTTAATTGCATAATGTTTCCAACATACTGCAGGAGTTCAGCAGGGCTAAAAGTGTTTTGCTGATTTTTGTTTATATTCAGTGTCCAATGCGTCTTGCTCTAGTGTCCATCAGTCAGCCAGCACTGATGGATTCCAGTTGCCCTGATACCATTTTTCTATTGTGACAATGTTCTGGTGAAACCTTGCACTATGTTCATCATTGATTGCACCTAGACTTTTGGGGAAGAAATCCAAGTATGAATAACAGAAAATGAATCTTCAGTGACATGTTTCACTTCATGGCATTTTGTGCTGTAAGACTTTCAACAAGCAACTGAAGGAAGGATAGTGCTTTATAGTTGCCAAGAAAATTCTCTATGACATCCTTAAATGCTTTCCAGGTGATTTTCTCTGGTCCCACTAACATAGACCTGGGCATCTTATGGCCCTGCATCACATCCAGCCTTTGGTTGTCCCTATCCAGCCTGCGTGAGGTCAATCGGAAATTAGAAATAAAATGTAAATAAGACATAACATGTATTCTTACCAGAAGCACTAATAAAAACCATATCATTTACTGGTTTTACAAAGCAATAAAAGTAATATTGAGCAGAATTAAATTCAGCCTATTGGTTTGACCATCCACAACAGTCCCAGTTTCTCATGTGGCCTCGTAGGAAAATTAATTGCCCACCCCTGCACTAACAGATCTTCAAACTGCTTGTCATTGATGGTGAATCTGATCTGTTGACCAATAAAAATGCCTTCCTTAATCTTGGTATCAGTTATTCTTGGAAACATCTGTCTCAAATAACAAAAACCTTCACCTTCGTTGCTCATCACTTTCACAACATTTGTCATCAGTCTGGGTTTTATGTGAAGTGGAAAACAAATATCTTTGTTGGGTCAACAAAGTTCACGTGCCATGTTTTTCTTTCCTGGAATCAAATTCTTTCAGAGTGATCATTTCTTTTTAGTATGAGACTCTCTTGCACGGTTGTCCCATTCACATATGTAACAACAGTACTTGGTATATCTGAACTGTATTCCAAGCAGCAGAGCCACTACTTTTTAGATATCCACAGATATTCCAGTTAAACTTGGTGTACCAGATGTGCTTCAACAACAGTTCCATGTTTTCGGGGGGGGGGGGGATTCAATGTGTGTAGCATAGCCAATAGGTACTGAAGGATGTGTAAAAACAAAAGATTTCTACAAAATGGTATGTGATAGTTAAATTATAGGTTATTTTTATGATTGGCAGCCAAAAATCTACAAGATTCACCCAAAAGTGTTCAGGAAGCAAAATCTTTGTTGTCCAGTTAATCCACAAATGTATTTTATATATAGAAACTACCTTCTTTTCACTATCACACAATATAATAGTATCCTTAATATTAGAACAGAAACATTACTTTCCTCTTCTGAAGGACAGCTACATACAGTATAAAGGAACAGAACTACAGAAGTAAAAATGGGTATCAGAAACCCACTTCCAAAGAAAGTGTGCGACCAATTGATCATGTTGATGATAAGATCAAAGTACTTACTTTTGGATCTGTTCATCTGATAATCCCCGAGGATTCTGGATAACAATCTTTGGTATTTCATTTGGATACTAAAAGAAAACCAACCCAAGTATAAATATATAGCATAGCCATGCTCCATGATGAAATAACTAGAAAAACAGCACTTAAGACATTTACCTGCAGAGGCACAGACAATACAAGGGTGAAACAGACATACTGAGAATCTTGATCCTCAGCAGTTGCTGGGTATAGGGTGATGGAGATTTCCCAGGGAACAGATCTAGTTTGAGAAAGGCGCAAGCTAAAGTCAATTGTCAGAAAAGAGAACAAATTTAAAAAGTAACACGTTGGAGCTCTCTTGCACTGGTGACTTTAACTGACAGCCACATTTACAATCTTAAGGATTTGTATCTATGTAACTCAGAGCGTGATATAGGAGTGAATTTTACTCCTTTCTTCTGGCATGTAAGCCAGAGAAGATTATTCATAAGGAAATCTGGCCTCAGGGTTTATTTATAACTACACATAAATACTCTTGTTATGTTTTACCTGTAAGCCAACAAAACATCTGACAATAAAGCAAATACCTGTTTCCTTTAAACACATGAAGCTCGTCCAAATAGATAGACTCTAAGACTTCCACTTCTGAAGGCAAACCCCTGAAGAAAAAGAAATAATGTTACAGATATATCTCATTTTCTTAAATGCCTTCTGCCTGCATGGTATGAGATGTTACTTTTCTTTTGTTCTGACGTTTCACCATTCAGCCCGAAAGCTCATCACTGCTTCCATTGACGCCAGCCGTGAAGGCCTAAGCCTGTATAACAAACTTTTTGCTGCCATATTGGCGAGTCCGGATGTTTGCAGCGCAGATCCACTTGCCCCAACAGAAATAGTTTTATTATACTTCAGAGACAAGATACTGATCAGAAGTTCTCAGCTAAACTCTCGGCTTCCTTATGAGCTCTTAATTAGGGTTTTGACATCCAGGCTTCCAAAAATAGAGAGGTTAAGTAGAGGGTAGCAAAACAGAACCCACTTTTGGTAATTCGGACAAAACGACACCAAACGCCCTCTTACCAATCCTCCACTCCCGTCGGCTCCTCTTCCCCTGCCGCGGCCATTTTTGCCAGCGAAAAAACCGGAAGAACGGCCAAATCGGCCACGATTACTTCCGGCGCCAGGAGTTGCTAGGCGATAGGTCGGCGACGCCGTCGTCTGACGCTTGGCAAGTAACGGGCGTCTTGAGCGTGCGGGTTTCCCTCCCTTCCCCGCCCTTGGAGTGCCGGAGCTAAACCTCCGCTCCCTTCCTCGCGAGGAGCCCCTGGGTCATCCCTTGGTCATAGACGGAGCGGAGTGGCGGGACGGCGGACTGAGGGAAGGGAAGGGAAGGGAAGGGAAGGGGATGACCGTGTTTTGCCGTGAGTTGAAACGCTGGCCGCGCGTTCTGCACAGATAATGAGAAGTAAGTCCTAGCAGAGGATGAGCGCTCTCTAAGCCAGTGTTTCTCCCCCTCGGGCCGCTTTAAGACGTGTCGACTTCAACTCCCAGAATCCCCCAGCCAGCCATGAATGGGGAGGGGAATTCTGGGAGTTGGAAGTCCTCACGCCTTAAAGTGGCTGAGGGGGGGGGGGAGAAACACTGCTCTAAGCTAAAAAGGTACAGGGTTTTTAGCCTTTCCGTTTTAATGCCTCTTTGCAAACGTTTTGGAAAGAAACGGGTCTAATAAGCACGATGGGAATAAAGCCAAAGGAACTCCTGGCAGCAGCTGCAGTTGTCATCCCCTACCTGTTGTGGGTGTGCGGTGTGTTATAAAATACAGTAAAAATTAGGAGGGAAAGGTGTCCTTGGGAAGAACTTTATTTCTTGTTGAAACTGCAGTAACTGAAATTTGAGAAAGGTTGCTGGTTAATACTATACTATACTATACTATACTATACTATACTATACTATACTATACTATACTATACTATACTATACTATACTATACTATACTATACTATATACTATACTATACTATATACTATACTATACTATACTATATACTCTACTCTACTCTACTATACTATACTATACTATACTACTATACTATATACTATACTATACTATACTATACTATACTATTATAATAATACAATACAATACAATAATACAATACAATACAATACACAATACAATACAATACAATACTGAAATGACCAAAAATAAGTCAGATTAAAAAAGACAAAGGGATCAGAATAAAGAACAAAACTAAAAGGCAATCTATAAATTCTCACAATTTTCCTTGAGTTTTCTAAAAGGAGGTGTTAAAGAGCTGTCGCAAAAGAGTCTCTTCCTTTTCAGTTTGAAGGATGAGTAAAGCAGAAAGTTTTGATTTTATTTGCTTCATGTATTGCACCCCAAAGAAATTTGCTATGAAAATTCATCCCACCAATGTTACTGGACTCTTTGGTTTTCCAATTCTATGGGATTTGTCTTGTATTTTAGGACCGTTGATGGAAGTGGTTGGAGCCCAATGAAGTTTCCAGAAACTGGGAGATATACTATCAAATCAAAAGTTTTCCAAACAAAGGTTAGAAGGATATGGTACATATAATAATGACCAGACTTTCAATAAGAAAGAGGAGCCAAATGTAAGCCAGAGAAGACACCTTGTTGTATAATTTCACATGTTAATTGAAGTAGAGGTAGATTTTTTTTTGCAGAATCTAGTTAATAGAGAAACTTAGTAATGCCATTATTGCTCAGCAAAGATCTAATAATCAGGCTCCTGTTACAGGAAGAATCTGAAGTGTGTGAAATATACCATAATTTGGGGTGGAGGCAACTTTTGAATTATGAAAAATCCAGAAGGGAAAAGGACAAATGTAAGAAAATTATTGGAGAAGAAAAGAGGTCAATTCAAGAATGTGGCAGAGGGAAGTACTGATGACTTAACTTGCAGGAGCTAAGTGTCTGTTTCTGTACTCAACAGGTTATGCTCTCATCCCTTTCCGTACATTCTAATCATGGACAGGTATCATGTGTTGGAAATGATTGGAGAAGGCTCTTTTGGAAGAGTCTATAAAGGACGTCGCAAATATAGTGCACAAGTAAGAGCAAAAGAGAAAAGTGATAATGGCCATCAGCAATTGACTGAACTTTCAGTGAGGGTTGTTCTACAAATAGATTGGGTTCACTTACTCTGATTAACAATCATTTGTTGACTAAGCCACAATTATCTGGGCTTTCATAACATGCAAAGTCAAAATCAAACAAATCATATTCTGGGATTCCCTCTTCTATTAATCCAGAGACAATTGGGAAAGAAAAATTCTTTGACAGAAAAATTAGGAAAGAAGGCAAATAGTGATTTAGCATGTTTCCCCGGCTTTTTCTTTTCTTAAAACATTACAGGTTGTGGCCTTGAAGTTTATTCCTAAAGTAGGTCGGTCTCAGAAAGAGCTGAAGAATTTGCAACGAGAGATTGAGATCATGAGGGGACTTCATCATCCCAACATTGTCCAGATGCTTGACAGTTTTGAAACTGACAAAGAGGTGAAAACATATTGGTAATACTACTTTAAAGTTAAGTATAGGAGAGATAGGGAAAAGTGTGCACTGCTCATCTTAGGGAAAGCCCTTTCTGGTGGATTATGTGCCATCAAATCAATGTCTACTCTTACCACTCACACAGCTAGACTTTCTCCAAGAAGATTGAGGGCCCTGGAGCGTGTGAATTTTTACTTCACTTCCCAATAAAGCCATTTCATTTTGCTCAACTAACCTGAGAATGTTTGGATTACAGTATGTTCCTCTTGTAAAAATCTAGGAATAGCTACCAGTAGGTTTCTCAATGGGATTCAGAGTAAAGCTCCCTTTTGCAATTGACTAATGGTGATTTTGTCAATACCAACGGGGTTGGAAATGTTTGGAATTTCACCCAAGGCACCTATTGCTACTGGTACTGCTTTTGCTTTCTCTTGTCACAATTATATTTTTTAATTTCTCTAGTTCTTTCTCTTTTTTTCTGCTGTCTCTAGATACTGCAGTGTCCACTATCCAGACTTTTTTTAAAATCAACTTTATATTCCTTTCTTTTACTTCTAACAATCTTAATCTTTAGTCCATTCAAGTAATGTCATAGAACTGATTTCATTATTTTTTTTACCCTTCTCACAAAATTTATCTAAACTTTAGTAAACCTCTTTTGTAAATCCAATATATAAAAGTTATCCAGATCGTTATCTTGGTTTATTATGTACAATTACTTTTTGATTTTTAAAACATCAAATAATTTCTTTTGTATGTCTGATGAGACATCATTTTCCATGTTATAGCCTGTCATTTGTAGATCCACTTCCAGTTTCAACTGTGCCTCTGTCTTCTCAGATAAAACCTGTTCCTCTTCTGCCATTTCTTCCAAAATATCTTTTGGACATAGTCTATCCATACAAGAAAGATTGCAATTAACATTATTGATGTTAACTTCTGATTCCATTTTTCAAAAGGGTCCTGCAATGTTTTCAATGCTACAATATTTTAAAGTCATTCTGTAGCCGTTAATTAGATTTATGCTCGGTGCATCATAGTATTACTGTATTCTTTCCCTGTGCTTCTTTGTGAATGTTTATACTGGTTTTCTTTTCTGGTTCTTGACTGCTAGGTAGTTGTGGTGACAGATTATGCTGAAGGAGAGCTCTTTCAGATCCTTGAAGATGATGGAAACTTGCCTGAGGAACAGGTAACTGCAGCCTGAAGAGTTAGATGGGAGAAATAAGTGCACAAGCTGAGAAATATTACAGAGTGGGAAGAATACTGTAATAGCTGTGTAGGATATCAGATCTTGTTAGGTCATGTTCCCCATGGTGTGTACATGGCATGAGTCTGTTACATCTGTAAAGAATTAATGGGGAATCACAAGACCGAAGAGAGGCAATAATTGCCACAGCCCTCAAAAATAAATAATGACAGTGCAGCAGTTAGTAGAATTTGATGTGGATTCATAAAGAATGAACTCAGCCTATATATCTTCAAGCAAATGCTTGTCCGCTGTTGTTCATGGTTGAATTTGGATGCCGTTCAGTGGAGAGAAGTATCACTAAAAGATTCTACATTCTGTGATTTCAAGCTCCTTCCTTACACCAAATCCCCCAAAAGTCACATTGACAGTATACATTGATAGCAAATTAGGAGGGCATGATTGGCCTGCAAATAGGGTAATATAGGTAGAGTTGTATGATTTTATAGTTTCTTGGAGAAGATCTTAGATTCAAAATTAAGGATCATCATCAGAGACTAAAAGATATGAAGGTGCTATACTCAAATTGAGAAAGGTTTTCATAATAGTAAGTAAGTAAGCTTCTTCTTAGGGTTAGGATTGCAATTTGTTTTTCAGGTGCAAGTTATTGCTGCTCAGCTGGCTTCTGCACTCTATTACTTGCATTCCCACCGGATCCTACACCGTGACATGAAACCTCAGAACATCCTGTTAGGGAAAGGGGGTGTGATCAAACTCTGTGATTTTGGGTAGGTACCTTATGATGTCCCTTCATTTCCAATTCCTGATCTAAGCACTGAAAAATTTTGGTTGTGTGTTTGTTTTTTTTCTGGAAGGTTTGCCCGTGCAATGAGTATTCAAACCATGGTTCTGACATCTATCAAGGGAACTCCACTTTATATGTCTCCTGAACTTGTGGAAGAGAAACCATATGATCACACGGCTGACCTTTGGTCGGTGGGATGCATTTTGTATGAACTGTATGTGGGGACCCCACCCTTCTACACCAATAGTATCTTCCAATTGGTCAGCCTTATCATCAAAGACCCAATCAAGTGGCCAAAAAACATGAGCCCCAACTTCAAGGTAGCATTTTTTTTTCCAATTCCACTTAGTAAGATTAAGGTTGATTTATACATGAAAGCGTGTGTTCTTTTTTCCTCCTAGAGCAGTGTTTTTCAACCACTTCATCACAGCACATTTGTGTACCACAAAAAGTCTACAAGTGTGCCACATCAGCGAGCCACAAAAAAATGTTGGGAAGTGTTATGCAGCTGCACAGCCAGAATCCCATCTCAGTGACATCACCTGGGTCAGACTTCCTCCATGTCTCCTTCCAGGTCCTAGCAACCTGTGACATTATGGGACT